GTGGGCATCTGTGTCTTTGCTGGGGGTCACTGAACATGATCTGAGGCTGTCAAACGGAAGACACAAAGGGGGGAACTTCTGTCACCTGGCTGCTTCAGGAGAGACTGAGGAGTTATCAGAAATGCTGACAGTGACTGTTGGGCTTCATGCAGATGGCATAAAAATTATTATTAGTAATTTTGTAATTCCCAAACCGTTTATATATATTAAATATATAATATGTGTTTTTGTTATATGACTTAAATACGTGACATTTAAATTACTTGTTATGTCCTCGTTTCATTAAAAACCTTTGTGAAAAAATACACAAAATTGTGTATGACAATATCTCCCTATGGGATTTCATCCTGCTTCCAACACCCATATGTATTGTATTGAATAATAGCCCATTGCCACAGCTAAGTCTATGGAACCATTCTGAAACATAACCTACTCATCGGAAGTAGTAATGTTGCAATCTATGATTGCATTCGAGCCAGAACCAATCACCACCTGGCCGAGTAACGTAACACTTTAGCATCCCAACGAAGAATGTAACGATACTTACGCCAAGCACAAAAATCTCACACTGAAGCTCTTTCAATCTGCTTTCACTTGTTGTGTTTCCAACCTGTGGGGTTTTATTTCCCATGGAACCACATTCTGAAGAGATCACCAAGAGGCATCGTGAGCGATGGACCTGAGATACAGCCTTTTGTTACACTGGAGGAGTCGTCACACTGAACGTACAGTATGCTTTCACAGGCACCACCTGACACAAACATTGATTTCTGAGAGAGATCCAGGTGTTTTTCCTGCAGTGAATACCGCATCATGCCAAATATTTGTTCTTGTATTTAATAAAACACATAATATAATAAAACAATACAAATACAGACTGGGTGATAAGATATGGCCGTGGGTTTACATGACATACAAGAGTAGTGGTCCCTACCAGGGGGGTCTAAAGCAGAGTTTTTTGTAAAAATATGCTGCTAATACAGTTTACAGCAACATTTATATTTAAGGAGTTTAATACAGTCGCGCAGTCTTAACACTGGTAATTCAACACGGGGTAATGTGAAAACAGAAACCATTAATTAGAACCCACTTTTTGGTCAAACTAAAATTGATTGATCAAAATTGAACCCACATCCATCTAAACGGAATACAGAAACTGAACATGGTCTGGATTTAAAATCAGATTTCTGGCAGCTAGCAGTCAATTGTGAGATACTTAATATCACTGGCCTGCACATGTTAATTCATCAAATCCTATTGAGTGTCATTTCCAGAGCATTAACCATTACTTAAGGATCGAACAAGTGGTCTTTCTCAGCAAATTCCACCGTAGAAATAATATCATGAAAAGGTGCTGACAGGAAACAGGAGACATCCTGTCTCCCTGTCTGTATGATGCTCCTTAAATTCATCCAGATGTTATTTCATTTTGGGCCACTTGACTAAAATTTATTTCAACGTTTCCTAGATGAGATTCCATATTTTGTAAGGGTCAAAACTTCGCAATCACAGTACAACACGGCAATTCGTAATGCTCTTCAGAAAGGCAACACATGAAATCAATTAGCATACAATGCTGCTTTTCATTTGAACATTGCAACATTAACATGTGCTCTTCTTTGAAGCTGGTGAGTGACTAACACAAACCCAAATGGGGATTTCTTCCACCTTGGACAACTCGATGAAAGCTGTGTCGTAGACCCAGCTAATGCCATCTAAGAAATACTGGGTCCACTCCTTTGCAAAGCAGGCTTGGTTCTGGTAATTACTTTGTGGCAGGTTTACACTGACAGAAGTTCTTCTTTAAGCCAAATAAACATCTCCTAACAAGCTAGCATAAAACTCAACAAAAGAAAGTGAAGAGAGGATGGGGGGGGGGGGCTACTATCCCTGCCTGAAAGGGGGGGAAGGGGTGGGCAGCCATTGTAATGCAAATGGTACTGCCTTGTCTGCTGTTTGTGGCAGGAAATTTAATTAGCAGTTGTGTAGCTACGATACAAACAGGTGGAATGTTAAGAATGCTTCTGATGACACACAGGCGGACGGAAAACACAAGCTGGAAAACATTTCATTTCACAACAAGTCTTAACTTGTTGCCATATGCACGGGCCAATCAGCAGCAACATTTTAGGGGTATAAAACCACATTTGTTTCTTTGTATCCTAGCAGCGTACGCCTACAGTGATTTCCAAAATCTGTGTAGCTGGAAGATGCGAGAGTCACAAGTAAACTACTTTCCTTTCAACAGATTCTTAGAAAATGGTAACAGCACATCTGCCGAATGAAAGCCCTTCACAAATAAATGAATTAGAGAGATTAGTAAACTGTAACATTGTGAACAAATGACACGTTCATTTCCACTTAACAAGCCCCACAAGGCATTCTCCTCTCACTTATCCTGCTTTGCTCTGTGATTTCCTGACATGCTTTTGACGCGAGTTATGGGATAACCCATTAAATGTGTAAATGTAACAATGAAATGTGCAAAAGCCAGGCTCCTCGGTGAGCACAACAGGAGGGAAATGCAACCCGATGCGAATATGATCGAGTGTAAACAGCAAAGGCGCCGACTGGGTACACGTCTATATCTGTAGCACGCTATTGGATTGAGAACTTCTCCCTGGGGCCGGCCGAGCCCTCATCAAGATAATCTAAAGACAGAAATAACAAACACATATACACTAGCACATCAACACAGCACACTCATGTATGTGCCTTACACTCACACGTGACCAAAAGCTGTGTCAGGACACCCACTACCCGAGTGACCACTGCAGCTGTCCTATTGATAGCTGAACTGCACTACACCACACACATGGGACCGTTGAGCACTCCAAATGGCAGACGGTTAAATGTGGACACTCCTAAGAATATCCATACAAGCAACTCTACGGATTACTTTCAAAAAGAAGGCTAGATGAGATTACGTTATGCCGAATTTTCTTTAAACCACAAGCTGGTGTGGGAAGCGGTAAAGTGGCCCACGGCAAAACTTCATTTACGGGCGGAAGGCTAGACCAATAAAGGCGTGGGGAAGTCAGGATACACACAGATTAGCAGTAGTAGAAAAATAAATGAAATCACCCCCTTTCAAATAGGCATCATTGGGAATTTCCTGTACAAGCCAATTAGAAATGTGTAAAGAACTGCGCTGCTACAGGCTGCTTTTACAAGCCAAAGCTACTTACTATAGAGAGAGATAAAAAAATATCCTGATTAAAAACACAGACTGTTAAAAGGGATGATATTTCTCCCTCTTGGCCCAAGCTGTCCTCTTTCTTTCCATGAATTTGGTATATTTGTGTATTGAGTTGCCATGTAAACGCAACAGTGTAACGCTCAAATTGGGGGTGGGGCAGACGGGGGGTTACTGAGAGTTTCATCGCTGTCATCTCCGTATGTAGCTGGTGAACAATCAAAGTGAATGTCTTTCTCTGACACTTATTCTGTTTGCGTCCATTTAATTACATCCTCACATATTGTGGCCATAACGGAGAAGAATCCTGCCAGAGGGAAGCTTCGTACATTTATAAAAAGATTCTTCCTGATGCTTCAGTAGCCAACCGCATTACAAATGACAGCTGTCTCTGAGGAGATGGTCCGTCAAATGAATGTCTCACATGGGGACACAAAGAGACAGGATCACAAAAGGTGCTAACAAAAGATAAGAGCTGCTGCTCTGTAAACTAATGAAAGGAGGATTTGAAATCATTGGGGCTCATTTCCTTCTACAGCACAGATTGATATGAGAGAGGTCAAACAACAACAACAACAACCCTGATCATACCTGCCACTGAAACAATGAGAAAGAACAGTTTCCCTTCCGGTGTCCGTCCAACCAGCAAAGCATTATTAGAACTTAGTAGTAACGGGACCGATTGGGACAAAATCGGTGACCCTCAGTGACCCTCTTCAGGTTTATATGAAGTAAGTTAAACATGTTTACATATAAAACCGTTTGCAAAATAACTCTCCTGAGATTGTGAAAACAAGACAGGGCTGTTTTAAAGAACCATCATAGCACCACCTAGCTGCATCACAACCAGTTTTTCAAGATACTTCTGCGGTAAGAAAAACACCACTACTTTGTGGAGTAGTTTGTTCCATTTAAAAAGCGACCTTTGAATAATCTTGATTGTATTAGAGAATCAGATTGGTTGTTTGATTTTGGTGATTTCTCCTGTCAGGTAGAGACCAGCGGGAGCACCGGGTTCGGTTAACGTTGAAAGCGTCGTAACGTCGCGGCTATAAGTTAATATCCGTTGTCGATGGTGTAATAACTTCAAATAATTTTCCGATCCAATTTAATGTATGTGTGAACGTCACATCGGAGAAGATGGTGAACTGCCCGCAGAAATGAAAGTTATCCCCCTGTCGAGTTACAGCTCGCTCGACACGGACGTTAGTTTCAGTTTAAACACCGGGACAAACGCTGCCAAAGCTACCTGACCACAATTCCACCTGTTTAAAAGGAAAATGTCCGGAGAAACATACACGACAATCTAGTGTGAGCGTGTTGGGACGATCGAGACGACCCGCCGTTAACAACGCAACAAACGGGTGAACTCACAACCGAACACTCGCCGCCGCCGGTGGTTAGCATTAGCTGTAGGTTAGCTCGACTGGTAGCCTCACCGTCCATCTGCTGGGATTGAGCTGAAAGTGCGTTCACTGCTCGGCGCATACGAGCCACGGAACGGAGCAACAAGTGTGAAGTGAATCTATTCTGAGTTGGAGTAACCACACCGCTTTGTACGGCGTGTAGGTTAGGTGGAGCAAATTATGAAGCAGAAGTAAAAAAAAAAATTCCAGGTACAAAAAGCGGTTGCTAGCAATAGGTGAACGCCAGTTAACGTTGAGACGTTCAACTTGGGGCGGATGCCTAAAAAGGAAAGTTGTGAAATATAACCGGGATGTGCTAGCAACGCGCTCGAACCCCAAGCATTTTCCGCAAAATTCAGAACCCATCGGCATTTAAATTCTTTGAAGATAATAGTCACCTTTGTTTTGAGAAAAGTTCTTCCCTGGTTCTGCTCTCTTTACCCTTTCTCCCACTCCGCACGGTGACTTCCAGATGCGGCTGCTGTTACTGAGTGTTGCGCCCGTTGGTAAGTAACTGTCTCCACGGCTACAGTCACTATGGCGCGACGGGGTCTCGAGGCAACTGTTGCTACCCTTGGATGTCTACGTCATGGACCTCACTGTACAAGGGAGGGGCCATGACGAGAGCTCCGCCTAACTCAATAAAGGTGTGGATTTTAATTCAAACCGCTAGAGGGCACCATTAGCAAAGAAACTGATGGAAAGGCATCATTCAGATTCATTTAGTTTATTCATATTATCATTTTTTGTAATAAAGCAAAGCAGTAACGACCTGAAACTCATTTTTAGAAATGATATTATACATATTTTTCCTAAATACATAAATGTTATTGTGCAACCAAGACACTGCATTTCAGATCTTGAGCACATGGTGGCATCATATATTTAGATACTCACAGTGTGTCAGATGAGTGGGTTGCTTCATCAGGTCTTGAACAGTATGGAAATGTTTTACTCAGCAGTTCGTTCAAAGAAAAACAATAGTCAGTTTACACACGTTACAATGACATCCCCAAGAGCCTATACTGCTTGAGCGTGTCCTTACACGGAGTCTAATTGAACGCCAAGCACAGAGTTAAACTAGCAAATTATATTCATGCCTGCACGCTTCTTGTTTTTTGTGATTGTTTGGTGCTATAGAGTGAGCTTCATAACAGATGCACATAATACATAAATGAGAAATGGCTTAAGAGGGAAACTGAATTATTGCCTTTCATATTTATTCAAACATGTGGAAAGTAACATGAATGATGCTATTGACATGAAAATGAGAAGTATGGAGACCAAAAGCCAAGTTATCTCGGCCTCTGCTGCTTCCATTTTGTCTGTCCGTTTCCAAATGTGCTTCCAGACGCCATGCTTGAGGGAGAGTAGAATAGTAAATGAATCTATAGAGCTTCAGAGACAAGCTCATATGAAATAAATACAAACCATTTTATGCCATTTAAATTCTTTTAAATTCTTTAGTTCAGTCCAATATCTACCATAACCAAGAGGCTAAATACAGGCTATACACAAAGATTATAAGGTACCGGATTTCTTTTGTTGACTCTAAATAGAGTCAGGTTGCTCTAGTATTATTTGCTTGGAGCATGTTTTCGGCTAAACATTTGGCATGAAACCCTTTAGGCCCTCGCGTTAGTACTTAAATTGATGATCGCAATTCGTCTCTGAAACACTTTTCTTTTTCCATTTACTTAAGAGTTTGTCTGAGCCTAAAATTGATATTAAAAATATGTTCTCTAAGGTAAAGTCACAAACTTAACATTATCATGATTACGTCAATCATCTTTGTAGAGGAGACTAATGAGGGAGCCCTCTAGTAGCTGAATACGTTTTTTTTTATTGGCCTAATTTTTATGTTTAGATAACTTGTGTAGTTATTGAATGTTTTGTCATGGCAGTTTCATATTTCACCAAACAGCAGGACGAGACAGAGGAGGTCTCTGACAGACTGTAACCCCTGCGCAGGGTGCATCAGCACTAAACCCACCTTGCAGCATTTCACCGTTTGCGCATGAGTACACTGTGTCATGCAGTGGTGCGGTGGAGCATTTTCGTTTCTCATGGCAATTGGCTGAGGCTGATCTTTCCACAGTGTAGTGATGTCAGCATCTGCCCACGTGAGATATTTTTAGACTCGATATATAAATCGTTACAATCAGATAAAGTGCTAAAATGTTGTAATGAGTCAGCGTTTCAAACGCTCAGGGATAATCTTATCATATAATGAAATTACTTTGAGTAGGAAATGTGCTTTCTACCTCCTGACCTAATGAATGCTGGAGACAAGGGGTTTAGAGGAAATAGTGCAAAGGAAATTCCTTTTTGTCTCAACGCCCGTGAGACTAAAAGGAACAAGGGGCCGTGTCACTTCACCTTTATTTATGAGTTGTATGACTGCAGTCATTGTCGATACCAACATTTCTTAAGTGTGGCTCCTCCACCAGAGGTGCTGTCTTTGTTTCAGCACCCGTCCATCTGGTCGCGGCTCAGAAGAACCAGAAGTACAGGATTGACTTGTCATGTTGGGTACTTATATGAGCTTTCAGGACTAAATTTAGTTTAGTAGTGTTACATTTTACGTGTTGATACATTCTGTTTGTCAGAGAATGATTATTTTCTTCGGAGTTCATGGATTCATTTACTCCTGCTGTGATGCAGTAAGCAATGTTTATATTTTGATCAGTAGTTTCTGCTCAGCGAGCATTGTGATAACCATTTTGCGCAAAGTATTACCATTTTTTACTTAAGAAAACAAAATACTAAAATAGTTTATTGAAAAGGTTACAATTGTTACAATACCTAACGTATTCCAAGCAAAACAGATGTGTTTATAATACTCGATACACGCTGGTTAGCAGAAATCAATCAAATAGGTACTATATTTATTATTCCAGGTCACAGCATCTTGTTGCAGAAGGATGTCAGTGGGAAGTCATGAAGTCAAACCAGCACAGCTGCATGTGAAATGATGTGTCCGATAGTAACCCAGCATGTCTGCAACATGTGTGTGTGTGTGTGTGTGTAGGGACCGTGTAGGGGGATGGGTTTTATAGCATCATCTGTCAAATGTGTGCCTCCTCTGAGTCACCCCCCCTCCCTCGTGCATTTGGATCGCGTGGCCTTATATGGAAAATGGATGGTGTGGTGTGAGCGGTTTCAACCAATCAGGTTGGTCAGTGATGATGGAGCAGGGTGGGGGGTGGGGGTTGTGGAGGAAGCCAGCCCGCCTGGTCTGGGTGGGGTTTTTTCAAGGGGCGGGATCGAGCCAGCCGGCTGCTGTTTGAGAATGAATGATATGCTGCTCGACTCGTACAGGCGGCGGGCTGGTGTGGCTATTGTGTGCTAAGCGGAGAGCAGTTTCTACGGATTAGACACAATTTCAGGGAACATCTGAAATAAAAACCGGGGGAAAAATATTTATTTTCCCGAAATGCAATGTGAGTAACTCATTATTTTATTTTTGTATAATGTATAACCCCAGCTGATTTGTAGTCCTCATAACTTGAGCTTCTGCTTTTACGCACACGGATCAGGTTGGTAGGAAACAGACAGAAAGCGTCTTCTCTTTATACACCATATGTATGATTTCCCTTAATTCACTCGTAACAACTCCCTGCAGGGCTTTAATGAAATAACCTTAATTCATTCGTATCTTGATTCGAGCTCAGATGTCACATTCAATCGCGGTGGAAAAGGTCTTTACAACACGTGGACATCTGTTCGGGTGTATAAAGGGTGTGACCCAACCACCGGGGCCGCGTGTGTCCGCCAGTCACAGGACGACGGTAATAAAGCTCATTTGCTTTATTACCGTCCGCTTGTCTTGCGCGTGCCCGACGATGAACGTTGACGTGTCCGCTGCGTCTTTTAGGGGGATGCTCGTGATCGCGCGCTGCTGATGCTCCACAGGACGGAGTGACTGATACCCGGTTCATCTCTGGCCTCAGTTGAAAGTGGAGGTGGGCATCTTGGGATGGGGGGGGGGGGGGGGGGGGGCTTTGCATGACAATGGAGAGACAGCAGGGAGGGGCCCGGTTCTGTCGGAGCCGTTTGACCCTGCGGAAGTTTGCAGGCTCGGTTCTATTTGGTTTCGAAGAACATTCGAGTTTTGGGCTGAAGATTTGGCGTTGTGATAGTTGTAACTTTATTTTATTAATCGGTGACAAAAACTTAAAAAAAGGTAGTGTCCTATTGTGTTTCCTGTTGTTGTCAGAGTCTGCTGCATTCATAATCCTCTCCTGATTTAATGATGTCAGTTTGCACAGTGCTAGTTTAAATAATTAATGGCATTACTTGTAGTGGTGTAACTGAAGAAGGAGAGAAAATGTCCTCCTGTCTGAAGTAAAATCAGATGGGTGGGGTAAAGCAGTATGTTTTAGAGTGACCGAAATTCTATGGCAACTATTTGTATTATCAATTCCTCTTAAAGATATATATTTGCCTTCTCCAGCTTCTATGATGTAAAAGTACATTGTTTTCCTCTTCATAATATCATTGTAAATTAGATACCTTTTTGTTTATTGGACTGTATTTAAAGAAGTAATCCCCTTTTCTTGCATTTTCATAATTTTCTGACATTTTAGACACAAACATAAATTCATCAGCAGGTTAATCTGTACAGTAAATACTGATTTACTCTAGCTCTGGCTTTTTTTCAAGTTCAAGGGGAATCCAACAACTAGACAAATCGGAAATTGATCTTCTACCAATCAAGGCCGGAGTTTCTTTTTTGTATTTTGCCCAAACCACATCCCGGTCCACTCCATCTGTGCCCGCCTCCGCTCTCAATTTAACTCACTTTTGCCACATCCACACAGCTGTGTCTTGAGGAATCCGCAGCTGTATTGGAAGTAAGAAGCCGGTGTGACAGTCACCCTCGGCTGAAAGACCTCCAGGCTTGCGTATAGGACTCGTTGACGAGGCGTCCTCGGGTTCGGCTGCTCGTCATACGGTTCCAGCAGGATTGCTCTTCTGTCCAACAGCGCTGGCGATTTGTGGCGATTGGTGCTGACTCTTCTAAGTCCAGTAACCCAGGAACGCTGGTAGTTCCTGCCATGTTAGAAACATGGAGGATGCCATTTTACCTGTTTTCCCTCATCTGAAGGTGTAGAGATGTTTTTGTTCCTGCTCCGTGACGTCACTGGAGCCCAGTTGTCCCTGACTCACTGGTCAAGGCGGCTGCAACAATACGCTGCTGGTATGTGTGTTTTCAGCCCTCTTGAGTAAACGTGCTGGCGGCAGCAGCTCAGACCTGTGGGTTTTGAATGAGAGAGAGCTTCATGGAGGTGTTTGACGTTGGAGGCCTGGTGATGGTTTATTGTTCAGGAGCCTTGAACGTCTTCCCCGTGCTGAGGCAATAAGTAAAGATGAGGATTCTCCCTCCAGCTCTTTTGAAATGAAACCGATAGACACACTAAAAGCACGCAAATGATACAGCGTGATTGATAAAGTTGGGCGACGCCGGTGTTGGTGTTTTGTTGACCAAGACCAGTAATGAAACTCAACGCATTATTTGCAGCAGGACAATGTTTACTTCCGCTCAGACAGCTCGCTTCAACACCTGCTGCCGTGCAGCCACATGTTGTGAAGAGTTACGGCCGTGTAAACAAAAACTGTTTGTGTAACAGCTCAAAAAGTCAGCTAGAAAGGTTAACAACATGTCTAGATGTTATTCATTTGTGCAGATTGCATATTTGATCTGTATGAATACAGCAGTGTACATTCACCCTATTTCATCAAATTCAGAGTAATCTAGAGGGAGTTAAAATAACGTTTGTACACCGGACGCCCAAAAATATACGTTAACTACCGGTATCTTCTAAGTGCTAGAAAAAGTAACCTGTTGCCGGCAGCACTGGCGTGTGAGTCTTGTGAGTACGAGACGCTCCCGGCGGTCACACGTTGGTGTTTCGCAATTAGACCAAGAGAGCAACTTCTTTCAAAAAGTACGTTAAAAGCTATCTTATTACAAGAAGTGTATTGATTTCTTGCCAAATAAAAATCTCCCGCTCCAGAATTGATACAGAGTAGAAGTCGTTGCTCATCGCATATTGAGCCACATCTATAACATACGTTTCAAATGATCTATAATATTTACAACAGAAAATTCCAGTCTCAGTCACATATTTGCCAATAGGATGCCAACAAATATTTAATCTCCTACGTCACGTGATCTCCTATATCTTCCAAATATGAGTAAAGAGGACTCACTGTCACAAATGACCACGACTGTTTAAGAAGTTGCAAACATTGCTAAACATGTGTATTAAAATGGATCATCAAACTCATGATCATCAACTCTTTTTGCAGATGCACCTGATGCAATTTCGAGATATTCTTATACTATGTTGGGTGTGCACACGTGACATGACATGTACCTAATCATCATCTGTATAAGCCTTAACTTTACTTGTTGTGGATAAGAGATACACTGTCAAGTACACAGAACATAACAAGCCCTGTTCTCCCCTCTCAGTGACCGCGTGCGAGCCCACTGCCACGTCTGAAGCCGCGGTGATGGAGCCTCCCCGAGCAGGCGGCCCGCTGGAGTCCTCCTCTGGCGCACGAGATAGAAAAGCCTCCCTGGAGGACGGCACTGTGGACACGGCCAAGTACGTCCCCACCAAGCACACCCGCTGACGCCTAGAGTCAGGAGGAGAAATCGGATCAGTTTCAAGTGAAATGTGTTTTCCCTTTTTCACCGTCTCCAGCGAGTCTTCGGGGGAAGAGTCCACGGGGGAAAGAGAAGGGGAGATCTGTGCACACGTTGAAGTCGCCAGCGACACCGAAGCTACGGAGGTCCCTGCCGATCAGACCTCAAGCACGCAAACCGGTAAAAAAGAAAAGCCGCGAGACAAGTGCGCCTTTCTCTGTCCCCAAAAGCACCATGAGGAACATGCAGGCTGATCAACTGAGATGTTTATTCCAAGTAGAAGTCAGTCCCTGTGTCAGCATTTGTGAAGGTGGTTTCTCTGACCCTTTCCCCTGAGGAAGTGGGCCAAACTCTACATTCTTTCAGAAGAGCAACTTGACTTCCCTTTTCCTGCCTGCTTTTTCCAGTCCGAACTTTGACATTCCTTCCTGTCTTGGTCGCTGAGGGGAAATCCTGACACGAGCACTTTCGTGATATTTGTTGTTACTCTTTAACCAACGAGAAGCTTTTATGATTACCCAGAGAGATCATGTCAGTGAGCTGTTAACCCATTAAACTGGTGCTTTATGTAGGTTTTACTTCTCCAAACACTGCAACGGAGTTACAAATAAACGGCAAGACACGTGGCTGTAAGATGATCAGACAAAACGAAAAGACGCCCCCACAGTTTCACATTGTGAGGTCAGAGCACTAAACGTGTTGCTAGTGTGCACAGGAAACCAGGTGCACGCGCCACTAGGGCCAGCGTGGAAGATGAGCGACCGACTCAACAGCTTCCTCGCTCATTTTTCCGCTGAACGGCTTTTTCTTGCAGTGAACGCCAAGCGACCAAACTCCCTCCCGGTGGCAGCGGCTGAAGGGCTCGGCCTGTGCACGTCACAGGGTGACGCAGAGGTGACGCTGAGGATGGGCGACTCTGGCTTGGCTGCCGAGACCCCTCTGACCGTCAACCAGATGTTCGTCTCAGCTGTGGAGCGCTTTGGCGACTACACGGCTCTGAGCTGGAAGGAGGGCGAGCAGCAGAAGAGCCTGAGCTACAGAGAATATTACAAGAGCTGCCGCACAGCTGCCAAGAGCTTTCTTAAGGTAGTTGTTTTATCTACTTACAACTTTCATCCCCCGTTTTCAGGGGCTCGGAAGTGATTGGACAGCATTACATGATTGTGATGATTTGTAATACTTTTAGAGGAGTCATTTGCAGTCAATGGTTGCCTGAATTCTTGCACCCGTACACATCACTTCCTCCCTTGAAATGCTTATCCAGGCTTTTACTGCGGACTCCTTCAGTTGCAGTTTGTTTGTGGGTGTTTCTGCCTTCAGTTTTAGTGAAAAGCACGTTCAAGAGGTCAGATGACCGACTTCGCCATTGAAGAATATTCCCTTAATTTGCCTTGAGAGGCTCTCTTGTTGTTTTTGCATATTTTGAGTCATTATCCACTTCAGTTTTGTTGCATAGCTGAGCAGATAGTTTGGCCCTAAACACCTCAGAATTTTACCAGCTGTGACATCATCGATGAACACCACTGACCCGGTTCCGTAGGCAGCCACACACACACGCGCCGTAACACCGCCTGCATTGTGTTTGACAGTTGATGTGACATGTTTCCTTCTCCAAGCTTTTCTCTTCCCATCATTGTGGAAAATGTTGGTCTGGTTGAACTGATTAGGCTTTTTTAGACGATTTTTTGCAAAGTGTAATTTGTCTTTCCGGTCCTTCAGTGGTAACATTCATGAGGTGGTCTCTTGATTGGAGACTTTGGTTGATGGTACGATGGCGTCTTTCTCCACCGAGGAAAGAACTCCATCATCTATTTGAGATGTTTTCCATGGTCTTCTGGGCCTTTTGCTGTCAATGAGCTTGCCAGTAATTCTGGTTCTGGTAAAACTGTTGCTTTGACCATCCCTTATCTTTCTACCTGATGGTCTGTTCAGTTTGTTTAGCCTGATAATGGTTTCCTTCACTTACATTGACCCCTGTTCGCTCTGCATGCTGACTGCTCCAAGCAACCAAATGCAAACTTTTGAATCAACTCCGGACCCCTTATCTGCCTAATTTGACTTGGAAAAACAAGGGAACCCAGCTATGAAACCGCCTGGCACACAAGCATCGGTAGTAATTGGACTGATTCCAGTGTATGAGAGTATCATCATCTATTAAACTTGCATTATATTTATATTTTTTCGCAGCTTGGTTTGCAGCGCTACCATGGCGTCGGCATCCTGGGCTTCAACTCGGCTGAGTGGTTCATCTCTGACATTGGTGCTATTTTGGCCGGGTGAGTTTCATCTCTTTAGTTTGTCATGGATGAACTCTGTGTTCCCTCACTTTCGTTTTCATTGACTGCTCTCTGTTTGTGTGCATGTCTTTCTATAGCTCGGTACTGTGATCCAAGACTTGAAAAGTGAGTTCATTACAGGGCAGAGCCAGTGGTAGTCCAGTTCAGCACGTAGCCTCGATTAATGACTGAAAGCACAACGCCCAACAGGCGGCTGATGAACTTCCGAGTTGAAAGCAACTAAGCTAGTTGGCCTTGGCTATAGGTGATTTATGCTAGTGCTTCTTAAACTACTAACGATCTCCAGGCAGATCACTCCCCAGTAATCAGTAATCACGTGCTGGGTGACGCATGACAACAAGGCTGTATTGAACCTACGGTTAACTCGCCAAACCTGATCCCCTTGAGCCAAATCACAGGTTTTGTCTTTCTAACTCGGTGGAAAGACGGAAACGCTGCTTGGTCTGGGCTTTCATCACTTGGTATCGACTGACATCTGATTGTGTGTAAAGATGAGAGGGAAACTGTTGTAAGTCTGAGTTTCCTTTGGCTCTGCTGCAGCGGGTTCGCTGTTGGCATCTACACCACCAACTCCCCTGAGGCCTGCCAGTACGTAGCCGACAACAGCAAGGCCAACATCATCGTGGTGGAGAATCACAAACAGCTGCAGAAAATCCTTCAGGTGAGAGTCAGGTGGAATGAGTTGTGTATAATGAATCTATGAATCAAAGATATGAATTCAATTCACTCTCAGAGATGTGATCAGGACAGGAAAACATTAAATAGGTTTTGCATAAGTTCCATACAAGAAGGAGAAAATATTTTTCCTTCCCTTGTTGCCCCTGTGTAATTAATAATGAAGAAAGAAAGGTGACTTATTTTAAAACAACATAGAGATATCTTTTATTTGATGTAACTCTTTTAATGCAGTTGGACAAAGCACATATCCTGCAAGAATGTATCTGTCTTCTATTAAGTACATTTAAAACATTTTAAATTAAATGACTTTTTCGACTGATGAGATCTTTGAACAATACAGTATGTAATAAATTGAGTATTCCAGCCAGTGGTGTCGTCTACTTGTTAAGGATAGTCTGCTCTATGTACTCATGGGATTGTGTTCTTTGTTTTAAAGGTTGAAGACAAGCTGCCACACCTGAAAGCCATCGTCCAGTACAAAGATGAACTCAAAGAGAAAAGACCAAATCTGTACTCCGTAAGTCACAATTCGTTCATGGCAAACACGAACAAATTAGTAAATTCGAATCCGCTTCATCTCGATGGTGTTGTCTTGTGTTACTGCAGTGGGCGGAGTTCATGGAGCTCGGACGCGACGAGGCCGACGCCCCCCTCGATGCGATCGTCTCCAGCCAGAAGCCCAACCAGTGCTGCACGCTCATCTACACCTCAGGGACCACCGGCCAGCCCAAAGGAGTCATGCTCAGCCACGACAATGTGAGTTACGTTCCACGGGCCTCCTGGAAGTAGAGAGGTGTCACATCCTGTAGAGGTGAAACGACAGACCTGACAGACCTTCACCTTTGAGCACACCATGCACACGCCTTGTTAGGCGAGTTTCTAGTTGGGTAGGGTTTAGAACCTCAAGGAATTTACTTGGCTCACTCTGGTTTTCTTTGTTAGACAATAAAGGTGGACAAATGATGTGATGGAATGTAACCTCATGTCACGTAGTACCGTAAAGAGAACTTCTACTCTACTGCATCTCAGTTTGATAACTTAGTTTACGGATTCAGGTTATAGATGAATACAATCTGAATCATTATTATAGATTTTGAAAAAAGGAGTTAAAATGGGCTTCACCTTTACCAAACAAGTACAAACCTGTGCACGTATTTTATTCTCGTAGCAGGTATCAAACACTTTCACCATTTCACGGTGTTCTTCTCCTCATCTTGTATAGAGCATGTCTGTATGCAACCTCTCATACATAAAATAATAAAGACGCTCCCTCCGTGCCCTCAGATAACATGGACCGCGCTCTCCACTGGCCGCCACGTCAGTCTGACGGACGCCACTCGCGCTCAGGAGGTTGTGGTCAGCTACCTGCCGCTCAGCCACATCGCTGCTCAGATGGTCGACATCTGGGTCACCATGAGGGTCGGAGGGGCGACGCACTTTGCCCAGCCGGATGCGCTGAAGGTGAGATGATAGTGGTCTTTAGTACAAAAACACATGAAACGCACACATTATGCGGCCCATCCTGAACGGAGATTTAGGATAAAACAGGACAAACTTCATATCCTCAGCAGCTGGCAGTAACATTCATGCAGTTTGTTTTGATTTAAATCACATTTGCGATGTTGATATTTCATAGTTTAGGGGCATGAAAACGAATAGGATCATTTTTAGTGATGGTCACCTTTTAAAAGCCTTATCATGTGCAGCTCTCCACAACGTGTCCTTTCGTTGCGAGATTAAATCACCTGGCATCCTACGCTGCTCCCATGTCTTAGGGCTTCTTTCAATTCATCATTCACCACCCCTACACATTCATTCAGTTAGATATCAAAAGCTCATTTGTTACTCATGCAATAGTTCCCTAGGACATTGGGGAGGCTGATTCAAACCTTTCCGCTCACTTCCACTGTGCTTTATTTCATAAATCAGGGCTCGCTGGTAACCACTTTGAAGGAAGTACGTCCCACGGCCTTCATGGGCGTCCCACGTGTCTGGGAGAAGATGCAGGAGAAGATGAAGTCGGTCGGGGCCAAGTCTTCAACTGTTCGCAGGAAACTGGCCGCCTGGGCCAAAGATGTTGGCCTGCAGACCAATTTGACCAAAATGAATCAGTACGTGCAGGTTATTAGATTAAAGCTTCATTTAGATGTGCTTAAATCACTCCGTGTTCCTGTTTACATCATGTTTATCAAACTGCTAGCTATTCTCTAGATGTTTTAATGACACTGTGTCTCATTTATTATCTGTTCGGACGCTGGAGTCATGTTGCGGTTTTGTGTCTTCCCTCAGAAGCGAAGCAGCTGGCCGCACGCCGTTCAGCTACAAAATAGCCAAACAGCTTGTGTTCAAAAAGGTGCGTAAGGCTCTGGGCCTGGACCGCTGCAGCAGGTGCTACACTGGTGCCGCTCCCATAACCAACGACACCCTGGAGTTCTTCCTCAGCCTAGATATCCCTCTGTACGAGCTGTACGGCATGAGCGAGAGCACCGGACCTCACACAATCTCCGTCGCCGAGGCCTTCAAGATCGCCAGGTACGTTTTTTTTTCTTTTGATTTCCTTTCAAACGGATCGGAGCCCACTCGACGCACGTGACGAATTATGGAAATGTTGTTTTGCGCTGCAGTTGCGGTAAAGAGATCCCAGGGTGCAAGACGAAGCTGCACAACCAGGACAGCGAGGGGATCGGGGAGATCTGCTTCTGGGGCCGTCACGTCTTCATGGGTTACCTCAACATGCCCGACAAGACGGAGGAGGCTCTCGATGCAGAGGGTTGGCTGCACTCCGGGGACCTGGGCAAACATGACGACAACGGATTCCTCTACATCACCGGAAGAATTAAAGGTACTTTTATATTCCTCTTTAGAGTTAGACAACACTCAGGTGAATTTGCACTGGATCCCGAGAAAGATAAAGACTTCTCTTCTCCTTTACGGTCTCAAATGGAAACATGGATTCAGTGTCTTGTAAGCGCAGAATAACAGTCTGTGAGCCTTGGAACATTTTTCTTTATTTGTTACCAGTATAGTTTGTTACTTAACTGGGATTTCTTCTTTTTTTTTTAGAGCTGATCATCACAGCAGGAGGAGAGAACATCCCTCCTGTTCCTATCGAAGATGCTGTGAAGAAGGCTGTGCCGCTGATTAGTAATGCCATGCTGATCGGAGACAAGAGGAAGTTCCTTTCTATGCTGCTCACCATCAAGGTGAGTTCGGTTATTCTGATGTTGTGTCCTTATGTTTTACGAGCAAAATTCACAAGGACAAGCGGCACCCTGAGAAAGCAAGTGCTCTTCAATAGTTACGCTATTTTATTGCCCATAGAAAGAGCAAAGGGACAAATTAAGCAACATGGTTTCGTTTGCGCTCTGAAGAAGCCGACAGGAGAGCAGCGTAACGACAATGTGACCGGCGATCTAATCTAATCTCACCCAGAGGCAATATACATATCTCGTTTCTACTGATAAAAATGCAGCGTTAGAGATGTTTCCTTTCAGATGCTGCCATCTAGAGGGCTTTAGAGAAAACAGAAAAATCTATTGAATTGTATTAATGATTTGCATGGAAAATAATGTATTTAAAAGAAATAGGTGGCATCATTCAACTTTTCAAATGTTTCTCTCTCTCTAGTGCCAGCTAAACGTGGAGTCGGGAGACCCAGAGGACGAACTGACGCCGGAAGCCGTCGAGCTCTGCAGGAAGTTGGGCAGCAACGCCACACGAGTCTCTGAGATCGCGGGCGGCCAGGACAAAGCGATCCACGCCGCCATCCAGGAGGGAATCAACACCGTCAACAAGGGGGCGAGCTCCAACGCGCAGCGCATTCAGAAGTGGATCATTCTGGATCGGGATTTCTCCCTTAACGGAGGAGAGCTGGGTAAGGGAGGTGGGGGCCGAGGGCATGGTGGCAGGAAGAGGACGGTTGTTTCTGTAAAGGTCTTAAACCGGCTGTGTGTTGTACAAGGAGAAAGAAAATAATAATAAACCAAATTCCTTAACAATATGAATTCCTTGCCTGTTCCTCCTCAGGCCCCACCATGAAGCTGAAGAGGCCCGTGGTTCTGAAGATGTACAAAGAGCAGATCGAGAACTTTTATAAGGAGCTGGCGACTCCAACGTCCCCCGACTTTCCGCTGCCTGCCAAATGACGCTGCAGACGCCACTCACCTCATTAATCCAGCCATTTTGCTTTTGTAAAAATGTTTTGATTGCCTTAAAGTTTTGTCGTTCTGTCTCGGTTTACATTTGCCGGTGTACAACGGTTTGCGTTACTGGGATGAACAGTGATATCCGATACATGAAGTAGCAGCAGCTGTTGGTAATAAATGTCGTGGGGTTTATTTTGCTGTATTTCTTGAGGTAAGAGACAGAATCCAAAAAGTTTGTAGAATGTAGAAGATTGTTTTGCTTATTCAACGTGTTTTTCTTAATTTATTTTTGGTTTACCAAAGTTTACATGGGCTAAAAGAGCTTCAAACGAAGAACGTTTCTCAAAATGACTCCATTTGTAATTTAACAATCATATGCAAATGTTTTCTGGCATTTTACATGTATTTGGTGTTGTCGTTTTCTCGTCTTTGTCAGCTGGGTTTCAAAGAAACTAATTATTTTTCTACATGTTTTCAAAGACAAAGTCAATGTTTTCTCCAGAGGTAGTTGCAGTTACAGAGGTATAGATGTCCATCTCATAACGTACCATCCACGTTTTGTTTTTCATGCTGTGAACATTGAAGCCATATCTATTGCCTTTTGGAAGCGGAAAGTCAGTCTGTGTTGTTCTGATTGAATGCACACATTCCTCAACTGCCTGGTTCTGTTGAAATGTTTTACAACAGTCTTATGTGAAGCCTTTATGTGCTTTTTGTGTATTGTATTGTAATATTGTAAATATCTTTTGCCTACACCATAATGTTTCTTTTTTTAGATTTTCTTTTTTCCATTTTATTCAGCATCGCTAGAAATCGCATCCGGAATCATTTGCAGTCAAACAAAGAATCAAATACTTATTTGTAATGTACAAAAGTTATATATAGCTTCAATGGCAAGTATATAAACCGGTCTGTTGCCATCCCTTGTGCAAATAAATGTACATGTATTGAGGTTTTGATCCATAGACTACATGTCTTTACGCTTGAAGGCATTTCTCCCCCTTTCAAACTTTTTCTTTGAAGATGTAAGTGAAAGAATTTATAGTCCAAAAAGCTGATCTTGTATATGAAGTAATTGTGTATATAATAAGCCTATCTTCGGTATTTGTTGTACTCTTGGTAGTTCACAGTGAAGGCGGGTTTGGCTGTTATGGTTTGCTCAAAGTAACTGATACTCAGGGTTTACAAGACAGACATTTTTCCATGTGTGTGTGTGAAGTTACATAAGGAATGAAGGTGATCCAGCGTCGGGATTTACCTGATCTGAAAGAACTACTGTTGAGAATATCAGGGTTGAAATATGGAGATATGCATGACGGAGAAAAAGAATGCATGCATGTTTCTGCCTACAGACATGTGAATGTTGGGTGTTTGATCAGTCGCGGATTAAAAGTTGAATACCCTGATGTGCTGAACTCGTTCTTCTGTCTGCTGTTCTGTGAGGCCTGATGAATACAAAGTACAGTTTCTACATTGATCTGATCGTTTACAGAAGTAAAATAGAAATATCACAATACAAAACTGACAAAAGGTAGGCGTTCAACATGTGAATGAAGTTAAGCTTCAAAACATACTTAATATAGTGTATATTATTGAATTATATTGATGCATCAATGTGCACATTTTAATGATGCAGCTGGTAAAAATGGTCCTGATTTTGCTTTATTTACATATTAATGTGAATTTTTGTTTCTTTAATGCGTGGAATGAAGCTGTATTCCACATTTAATAAAAACGATTTGTCGATTATATTTCTAACGTTAATTATTTATCTGAATCCACAATGTACCCCTGCGAAAGTAAAGGATCACTCAGCAATACATACTGACTGCTACTGTGTTTCCTCCATTCATATTACTGCTTTACTATATTTATATATTTACTTTTACTTTCAATAGAAAAACTAATTCAGGCAGTCTTTAGTTATATAAACCAAAAAAGAAGAACACAACATCAGAAATGCTTGAAGACTTTTGACTTGATTACAATGATTAGTTACTTTCTTTCCACCACAGCTGCGGAGTTTCTCACCAACAAGCGGAAAATATTTCACAACAAAGACAGTTTGAACGCTCAAACTTCCTCTAAATGAGGAATCGTTAAAGGTTTTTTTTATAATGACAGTCTCCCATTATTACAAGTAAAAACATCCTCTATGAAATATGTTAATAGGTTTCCTAAATAATGCTTCGTTACACACAGACGTGTGTAGTCACGTCTGCTTTAAGCAACACAAGTATCAAGAAGCTGATTCCCAATTAGACCCACTTTCAATCCTGGTCGTTTCCAAAAGAGTGAAAATCCAGAGTTCAATTTTCAATTTTCAATTTTCAAATCCGTTGATAACTTTCTCAAATAATATATTTTATTATTCAAGTTTTCTATTTTTAAAGGCATGTGATATCTTATGGAATAGTATATCAAAACCGCTGTAAATACTTTTATCAGCTATTCAGTTTACCGAACACAATATTTTTGACTTTCTGAAGTTTAATGAGAATGTGGCTGTTTTTGGTTTATTCTCCAAATGGAAATACGTGACAAATATATTTCATCACAACCCCAAAGATCAGGTAAATATCCAGTGCTGCCATACACGAATCTTAGTGATACATTTGTAACATTTTCCCACAGCGGTGTTTCACACCCAGAGACATAAAAAAACCCAACCAAAACCCACATTAGGTTTCCTCAGTGTGGAGCGGTGTCAGAGTACAATTTATTGATCAGGCGTCGCCAATAAATGTTCCTCCACTTGTGACATTTCCTCCATAAATGGTGAATGGATCGTGAGCGTTATTGGCCGGCCCGCTGCGTGTCCTTTTAACCCCGCGGACTGCATTGACCATCACATGAACTCTACGTGAACCCTTTACGGACACCCGTGACCGGGTCACACAACGGTCAATGATGGTTGGACACACGCGTGGACAACAGTACTTAATGACTTTATTAATAATATGATTTAGAAATAAAAAATAAACAGTAAAATAACAATGTTTTGTCCTCGTTAAAAACTTGCATCATTATGGCCACATGGTGGCATTGTAATGCAAAGTTTTCTTTTCTTCAAAAAATACCAAATTGTTCAGCACATCCAGTTTGTTCTTCTTGGACCACATATAAGAAAACACATTTCAGACATTTCTCCCGCATTTTCAAAAAAAAAGAATCAAACCTTTTTAAATACAGGCATCCCTGTATCCTTGTCACAGACACATTATGACGACCACTGACACAGGATACATCCCGTCTGCACGCACCCCCCCAACACATATTTGCAACCACCTGCTTTGTTTTAGCTTTTTTTCCTCATCCTCTAAAGATCCACACAGTAGATATTCTACCTTTGCTGTATTATACACATATTATATATAATATAGTCTCAGCTGAAATGTTTCACACAACAAAGCAGCAACGGGTTGCAAAGTAAATGGGACAGGGGGGATTCCTCTGCAATCCTTACACCCATTTGCACTTTTTTTTCCGGTGTTCAATGTTGCTCCACATTAGATTACAAAAGGGCCCCGTACAGAAAACGTAACCGTTACAGTGGTTTACATTAGGGCCCCCAGTTTCTAACTTATCAACCCAGGTTTATGAGAAATTGTGTTTTATCTGTCATTTTGGTTGGCAGGCGGCTGGGAGTACTACAATACCCATAAGCCTCAGCAGTCGTTGCAATGGAGAAGGAGCCACATCGAGGCACAGTGGAGTTAAAAAATAAAAAATTCAACAAAAAATAAAAAAAGGCCTGCAGCTCTTGCCGATGTTCTCTTTGAAAAATGTGTTGTTCCTGCATCCAGTGATGTGACAGTGACGTCGTTGGAGAGAACGGAGCTGTGGAGACATTATTGATGAGATAAAATCTTTTTGTTGGAGTCGCAATGAGCCGCTGGCAAGGCAGAGGGGAAGAGCAGCTACAGGACGGGCATATTCTCACATCTTATTCTGTGGCTTGAGGATTTGTTTTCGATGAGCGTTGATGATTGTTGGAACACTGTTCGGACGAACGTGGATCTGGTGAGTTTTTAAGTTTTTGGAGTGTGCGATGAGCGAAGACCGATCTGTTCGGCGGAAGAGAGAAACGCTATGTTTTTAATTTCCAATATTATTTTCAAAGCTAACATTTTGGGAGTTTATTTTGTTCATTTATCAGCCGTATCTAAAGTGCGATGCATACTGGTACACGTAGGCACAGCCGGCACGGCACCCCGCCGGAAGGGATCCGCATTCTGGAACAATACAAAACAAACGGATTACATGTACCATCAACACTCATTCAAGTTCCCCGTTAAATAGGTGGCCAGTTTTCATTTTTACAGAACGCAGCATCACATTGGCAGAATTGCTCCTAAAGGGACCCAAAAAAGAACCGATTGAAGAGATTATACAATCAGCAGTCCCAACAGCATGAGTTTCTGCCCGTGTTTAGCCACATAGGATAGAACTTTATGATTGGAAGTTTCTCGCCTCGCAGAGTTGTAATTCTAATGTTTGTTTAAAGCGGTATTTAAATCATTTGGACTTGATGATTAAAACGGAAGCGTTTCAAGTAGATTCAAGCTGCAAAAGTGCTTGAACTATGAGTAATTCAACACTGTATGTGGGAAGAAATGGCCTTTTTACTTCCGGTAGCAGCAGTGCTGAGAACAGCTCCAGCCAACTCCTTTGTTTCCTATGATGCATTTCTTCAGGCTGAAGTTAAAATAACTTAAAATGTTGGGCCCATTTTTTGTTTGGGAAAAGACGTCTATGAAAGAGTAGAAAACAAAGACTCAAATCCCCTCTGGACAGGATACAGAAAAAAAGCAGAGTTTAGTTCCCTGAAACAAATTGACTCGTTCTCAAGTTTAGCTCATCCAGCAAACATTTTCCTACACCTGCTTCTTCTTGGTGTTCAGCTGTCATCAGAAAAAACAAAACATTGTGGGAACATCCCCATCCATGTTTTATACCTAGCAATGTTTGTTTTGTGAATAATAGTGACAAATCATGCCAAAATAATGACAATTAAATAAGAAAACAAAACAAGGTGACATAAAAAAAAGGTTGGCAAAAAAAAAAAAAAAAAATCAATTCATATCGTATTGCATGTAAATATTGTATAAAATCCTTAAAAATACAGTTCAGGTAACTACTTAAGTACTGAAGTCATCACAGCCAAAAGTGCAGAGGTCCATAAATAAAACATTGACTGTGTGTAGACAGTAGGGCTCCTCTCGAGTCCCCACGTAACCTCCCTTTCTCAACCATCACAAGGGACTGAATGAGTGCCTGGTCAAAGGTCAAAGTTCATGAACTAGGATTTAAAAGTTCCCACATCGATGCACAGAAGAGGGACAGGAAGGTCGGTTTTTAAAATTTCTCCTGTCGCTGACAAACACACTCGCAGATGCACAAACGTCACTCGCACGAGATGCAAAGTTCGTTCTCGGTACTCAAGTTGGGTTGAGGGAGGCACACCTTGAGAGAACGAGGTGGGACGGGGGGAGAAGTGCGGGCAGGAGGGAGGGGGAGGGGTTACTGCAGGGCACATAAGGCGGCAGGAATCCATTTTTTCTTTTCGAGAAACAGTTTCCATGCTCAAACAGCGTTTACAGTAAGGGGGAGTGTGTTCGTGTCGCTGAGCCAGGCAACAGAAGAAGAAAGAAGTATTAAAGCTATAGAGGCGTCAGAATAAAAAAAACCCGTTGGCTGGAAGAGAAAAGAAGAAAAAAAAGGAGGGAGGGAATTGCTCATGGAAGGTTCATACCACAGTGAGCTGCTGTGTGTGTGTGTGTGTGTGTGTGTGTGTGTGTGTGTGTGTGTGTGTGTGTGTGTGTGTGTGTGTGTGTGTGTGTGTGTGTGTGTGTGTGTGTGTGTGTGTGTGTAAAGCCTAAAGGGGCCACAGGAACTAACACAACAGGGGCCTGAATCAAGATGCAAGTTCACCTCATTCTGGCTTTCTTTGGGGTTTTCCTGCATCACAACACTGGTGATCCGGGAAGCCGGTCTCACCAGGCGGACTCGTGGTTCCGTTCACACACAACGAACCAAAGTAGGTTGGAGTTTGTTTACATTAAAAGGGGCATAACAACATAAAACATTTGAGCTCTCTGAGGAAATGTCAGTGCTGAAGTAAAAACGTTCATGGAGTTGAAAACAAAACAACATCAAAACAAAGTTAAACAAACTAACTTTTAAATGACACCGTTTCTTCTGCATGGAGATAGAGGAAACATCTTAAAGTAAAAGTATGTGACATCTTCAACAAAGATCCAGCCAGTTTAATTGCAGGCAAATTAATTGCTCCTGAGGTATATCAGATTACATGTAACCATAGCAACTATACTTGGTCATGGTCCTCACTTTGACCTCAATAGAAACACTGTGTTGAAGTCCCTCAATCTTCTTTGGAGTTGTTTACTGGATCCTTAACGAAAAAAAGAAAACTTTTTTTGGATCTATTCAATAATTTAAAATACAAGCAACTGTAAATGTTAATCAACAGTAATAACTGGCCACCTTGCTTTGTGTGTCATGCTGAAAGCATTGGGGGAATCTAAAAGATTAGAAGTTGAAAGAGTAAACAAAATATAGTAACGTTCTGATATAGTTAGCATGTAAAGCTAAGTGAGTTTACATGCTGCTTTGTGCTCATTAATAGTAATTGCTTAAAAGGTTTTGACGTGGTTCTTGAAAGTGAGGGGTCAGGTTCAGTGCTGTGAACGGATTGACGCAAGCCGGCTTAGTGGGATCGGTCAGATTGAGTGGCGTATGAAACGCTCTGATCTGGCTCCTGATGCAGGCCCCCTGGAAGATACAGTTGAGATAATCGGCTGGGTTTCCTTCAGCTCATTTGTCTGCCTACTTGCCCTTTGTTGATGCTCTTCAAGCGCCTGGTTACGTGGTATCAAATGCTTCACACCGCGTGATGGTGGAGCTATTCAACAACAAACAGCTCACAAAACACACAACACAGCCAAAGCAACCTGACGCATCCGCTTAAAAACACTCAGACTCATCTCAGAATGAAGGAACATTAAAAAAATGGCCACCATAGGAGTCAAATCGTGGTCTTAAAACTTCTAGAGGGGTTAATTAATAAGAATGCCACCGATAACAACGTCATACAGAGACACTGGAAAAAGAGAAGCAGGGATGGAAGCTATTAAGACAATACTGGATATTCAGGCATCTGTTTATAACACCTGTATAACACTTGTTTCCTCAAGGGGTGTATTGTGGGGTGGGGGTATTTCAATCTGTGTAACATGGCTAACAGAGTGCACACCCCCCATCACACTGCAGGTAGCAGAAAAAGGCACTAGAGTGGGGCTGTTGCTAGCCATAGAAAAGTAAAAGCGATTTACATTCATAGCGCACAGGTTATCTTTACCGCAGTCTGGGAATAAATACACAAAATGCACTTGTAGAAAAATAAAATGTAAAAAAGCGTGGCCCCTATTCTTTTCTCTCTCCTTATTTTTGGATTCTGGGAGTATGGCTACTTTTTCACGTCTTTTTTGAAGCCCCCTCCACCCCCACCCTATTAGCCACCACTTAGAAGTGATCCTCCACTGCTCTGGCCACGAGCAGTCGAGCCCTTTCATGCACGCCAATATGAGGACAGGAGGGAAGGGATGGAGTGAGAGGGGTGGGGGGGGGGGGGGCCCGTTGGTAGGAGGTCAGGGCTCAGCTTTCAGTGCGAGGAAGGAGGGGGGAAACTCCCTGTTCAGACATCAAAAAAACCTCATCCAAAACCAAGTCTTTCTCTGACGTACACACACACACAAGTGCAGGGACCTGGGAGACAAATGCAGGTTCCTTTTTATTTTAACCCCCCTTTCTATTAAGCTATGCACTGTAAAATCTTTCTCATTTGTTTTTTACTAAACTGTATTTCATGATCAGTTTACGAACAAACCTCAACCTAGGAGGAGGTTGGTGGTAAAATTACTTAGCACTACGTTATTGTGTGTTGTACAAAACGTTTATAAATGTTTGTGCACTGCTCATAAATAGGGGGAGGGGTTAAGTCAATTACCTGAATCTGTATTTGTTTGTGTGTGAAGGAGGGAAACCGGCTGTCGTCTGTGCCCAAGCTTTAGTCGGTACCCACAAAGATCACATCTCTTAAACCTCAGCAGTCCTTGCATGCACACACACACACACACACACATACGCGCACGCACGCACAAATAAAAGAGTATGCCTAGAGAGAAATGAGCTCCAGCTGACAACAGGGGGAAGGGGACTGAAGTGTTCAGCCGAGTGAGGAGTGTTTGTGTGAAGGGGGAGGGAGAGGAGGAGGGGAAGTATTGGGTTTGCAAAAGAAGGCGTGCAGGAGGGTGGAGGAGGGGGTGTGAGGTGCATACCACAGCTCTGCACAGACTCAAAAGAAACAACAAAAAAACAACACGTGTAGTGAAAATCCTCTGTAGATAGCCCTGCCAGTCGTCCCCCCTCCTTGACCACCTCCTTCAGTTTCCTCCCCAGTGTCACTTGAAGGTGCTGCGTCTTCGTGTGTGCTTGTGTCTGTTCGTGTGATTCCATTTGTCTGGTCGTTGTTCAATGGTTCAGTCAGGCCTGTGAAACAACTGTGACATGATGTGGCTTCTCTTCCCCAACTTAAAAAGGGGGGTGGCTGGGGGTGGGGAGGGGCATGTTGGCGAGTCTACCTCCGCCGCCGCAATCCACAGGCCGGTTTCCCCGCACCGGTGTTGATTTCCTGTCACGTGGCCGTCGCCTCCAAGTAGCTCTGTAGTTTGCGGACAGTGGACTCGTCCAGTGAAAAGAGGTCAAAGTCAAAGGTGGTGTTGGTCACGTTGAAGTGGCCCGTCTCCTCAATTAGGTTCACAATCTAAGAGAGGAGATAATAATTAGCATTTGCCCAAATCACTTTGCCCCAGGGTCACATTCACAGGATATATATTTGAAGAAAAAAAACATCCCTACCATCAAAGCCCATATTTCATCAGTACTAAATAGAGGTACGATTTTATGGGCTATTTCCTGGATATTGGATAAAAGTCTCACCTGCTAATTGTTTTATCTGTCTAAGACTTATAATTGTATAATTCTGTTAGAGAGCTAAAATGAAATTGTTCACAATAAAACTAACAGTTGTAGAAAATGTATTTTTAAGGTTGTTCCACTTTCAGTAAAGATCTTCCACACAGACAACATGGTGTGTGAGGCTGAACGGATTTTAAAAAAAGCAGATCAGTTCATGGTGCTGAGTGCAACGCCACAAAAACACATTAAACAGCCACTAGAACAATCCACAGTTATATATATCTAAAAATATATTTTCTTTATGGTCACTACATGGCTTACACCTCTTAAAAAGTTTTTCCATCCATTTATCAAATTATGCAGTTGTTTTACATTCATGTCAATGATTCAATGGTTGGTGCCATTACTTTTTCCTGAAAGGGTTAATCATTCGGATGCTAACAATGCTAGATTTCCTTGTAGAACATTAACAAGCAAAAACGGAAGCATGAACACACACCTGCTGTAGGACATTACGTTCCCTTAAAGCCATCAGTCTGCGATGAAGGTCCACCAGTTCTTCTGTGTAGGCCTGCACAGATAGCAGAGAACATGGTCAGTAGAGTGACAAAGATGACGGAATGGAACTGGAATTTAAACTTGTGTGTGAAGATGGGGTAAATGCATCTGCCTGAGCCATTGCATGGCCTAAACCATCTGAGTTAGGTGGGAAATTACTATTTGAAAAAATCATTGGAGAAACATTAAGGAAAATTGTTAGTTTGTTACGCTACACCCGGACTGTAATCAAAGTGTGTCCCTCAAATTAAGTATTTGCAGCAGAGACACGAAGGAAATTTTAATTACACAATAGGATTTTTGGAAAACTGGATTTTTGTGACTGTCGATCATAAACTCACTTATGCACAATAGTGAATCTAGCAATAAATACAGAACAAACACAAGGTGTTTATGGTGCATTGTAGTCAACGTTATTCAGTAGCCCTGGCCTCTTTTGAATGTAAATCGCTGTGAGATTCACCTTTTCTTCCCCATTAGCTTAAATAAGGAGGAGTGATCTAGGATTGGTCGATTCATGAATCATCTCGTGACACCAAAGAAAGAAAAGGCTTTTCTTTTCAAGGGTTAATAGGCCACAGTCTGTCAGCACATCTGGATCAATTCACTGTCTGACTCCATCTTGAATTCATTAATGCACCCAATGAATGTGGTAAAAATACTGTGTGTGTGTATGTGTATGTGAGGAAAAGCATAAAAAAAAAGTTTGATTTACCCTTCCTACCTTGTCGTATCCCTTCTTCAACACCTTCTCCGAGCGAAACGAGGAATCTGGACTCTTCCTGCCCGAAACCTGCAGAGAAAAGGAGGGAGAGGAAAAAAGGGAAGGAGGAAGAAAGAGAAGAGAGACAGGCAGTAACGTGAGATCATGAGACTATCTGGGACACTGGATATGTAAGAGAGGTCTGTCTGTCTGCTGAATGTCTTTAGGCTACGTATGTTGGGCAGGAACCAAGGAATTAGAAATATTCAATTCAAAATGAGTTCTTTGTCAAAACAAATGTCTTTGACCGTTTTACTTCCGATCAAAACGTACAAAATACATTGCCGGAGTTCATTTACCCACAAAACCCCACATATAACCAACGTAATGCATCAGGAAAGTCCTGTTCATGTAGGCCGAGGATATTTATGGACCAAGACAAACTCAATATTACTGAGAATAAATAAATCCAGATGAAACTATTTCCATGTTTTTCGATACATCAATGAAAGCAGGCAGTAAAAGGTTGTCAGCGGGACGTACTTTGTTATTGGAAGAGCTGTGTTTCTGCGGAGGAGGGGCGGGGTCTCGACTGAGACTGTGCGAGCCGTCGCTGCTGTCGCTCTCGCTGTCCAGACTCAGTCTGAAAGGGGGAGGTCAGAGGTCAACCACACATGGACCGACACATCACATTGTCATTTTGTTTAGCAATGACGATATAGAACTGTTATTTACTATATAATATTATACGCATTCAATTATGAGTAATGTCCTGTGTGATGAAGGCCCTGACCTGCAGAACTAAAAATGAGTAAATGGAAAAAAATATACAGATTTGATCAAAAAGCTCCATCCACTGGTTTTTATGATCATTTTAATTTTGAACGATTGAAAAATATATATCTATAGAGGCTCCTTGAGAAACGTCACAAAAGGTATTTCAACGAGTTTCTGAAAATGTAGAAAAAACACGCGACAATTCTGCAGCCACTTCTTTGCAGTAAAAAGTCCATAGTAAGCAGTGTTTTTGGTCGAAGCCTGTGACATTTTAAGAGGGAGACGGACCGAGAGTCGCGGTTGGGGGGGTTGGTCTTGATGGGCGTCCCCTCCTCCGAACTGCTGTCGTCGTCATCCGACTCTTCTGACTGGATCTCCTCCACCATCGATCGAAGGGGGCCTGGAAGAGGTGGACAGAATAACACAACCAATGAAACACAAGTCACACCAACCAGTTAACTTCAACATGAACGCTCCTCACATAACAGGGCGAGTGGACTCTACCTTGTCCTTGTTTCTGGCCCGGCTCAAAGTCTGAATCTGAAGTGGAGTCGGAGCTGGAGCTGGAGTTGGAAGGACTTGAAGGTGCTGACTGCTGTAAGAGAGAAGAAGAAGAGGATGATGATGATGATGATGATGATGATGAGTGTCAAAAAACTTGCAGCTGTTCTCCCCGTCTCAAAAACATGAAACATAGTATAGTTTAAATTGTAGCTGAAATAATTCATTGACCAACCAATAATTAATCAATTGAATTCTCAACAAATATTTTAATAATTACAGCTATTAAATTAATTTTAGTTTCTCTTGTCAGGGTTCGCACAGAAGAATATAAACTGCAGGACCGTACAGTCCTTTCCCTCTTTCGGGAAGCAGACGTACCTCTGACTTGGACGATGCTTCATCCTCTGAATTTGATTCTTCCGACTCCGGGAGTTTCTTGGGCTCCTTTGGCTCCTGCGTGTCATTTTTGCCTTTGGCCCAGCGACCTTTTTCCTTCGGAGGTTTCTTCTCTGCGTACGGTTGGCCGGCCGCAGACGAGGAGGAGACACGAGGAGAAGTTCCCGTAAAGACCCCGCCGCTGGACCCTTTGGGCCCCTCTGAGCTGCCCTTCTTCTGCTTCTTAGCGCTTGGTTTGGGAGACTCTACAGTGGAGGGTCGTTTCCCCGGGACTTTAGATTCTGCAGGCCCTCCTCCACCTCCTCCTCCACCTCCTCCACCCCCCCCTCCACTCCCTGCACCCCCCCCTTTTGGGGACGTGCCTTCTATTTTCGACTCCTTCAGGGTGAGTTTGGGCTCTTTGAAGGCGGCCTTGGGTATGACCTTAACTTCCTCTTTCACTTTGATCTCTGACGGCTTTTTCGAAGATGACGATGAGGAAGAGGGAGGATCGCGGCTGCTCTTGCTGCTTCCGTCTCTGTCGTTGTCTCCCTTCGAGGTGGCTTTACTCTCAGAGTCTTTTCGGGGCCGTTCGCGGTGCTCCTTGGTCAGCTTGTGCGGTTTGGGTCCTTTGCTGCTGCCACCACTCCCCTCTTTGCTGGGTTCCTGGAGGGAGAAAACAAAAAGCAGGGTCATCGATAATTTACCCGTAAAGCACTCAGCCAAAGACTCAGCAGCACAAAGACCTCCTCGAGGCTTCACCGGTCTACTCTGACATCTGCTTCACAGCAAATAACGTGATCACAAAGAGGGAACTTCTGCCCAAAACCATTCCCCTCTGATTCAGTAATCAGTCCAAAACTTCTCTACACAACAACACAACTACAGTTCATTCTACAGCCATGTTAGGACATCTGCCACACTTTAATGCACTACGTGCAGTGTTTCCCACAGATCCAACGTCAATGTGTGGGGGCTGACGGGTGTACGACCAACGTCGTACTAAAACACACATTGCTAGATAGAACTGTACACGATTCACACTATATACAACTCCCATAGTTGTAGTACACATTTCACACCCTATACTACTGTTACAGCCGACATGTGCAAAGTCTGCAACTTCTGTCAAAGCAACGGATTTTGCGGGGCTAAAAAAAAAAAGAGACACCTGACTGACAGAGACGGAGGGAGAGCAGGGAAAAGGAAATGCAGCTGAACGAATCCGCTGCGTGATTTAAATGGCGTTAAAAAAATATACCAAATGGAATGTGTGGCGGCCGGCGATGAATCTGTGGCGCACCGCCACAAATTAGTCTATGTGTGGGAAACACTGACGTGGGCAGAGTGGTGCTATTAGCTAAATGTTGAATTCATTAATATGTTGACCATGTTCTCCATGTTTGCGGAGTGCGTGAGCACGCTGACATTTTCTAAAGCGCAAGGTAAGCACAGGCTGACGGGAAAGTCTTGTTTCTGCTTATAAACCATCCAAACGTCAACTTTATGGTGGTGCTATAGGCAACGGCAGGGAGTCCCACAAGTCCCTGGGATTCATCATTTGGGAGTTGAGACTGTCTGGATCCACACGGAATTACCTCAACAACTATCATTGATTTCCATGAAATTTGGTACAAAGTGGTGGATCGACTAACAGACCACGATTCCTGGAGCCTGGCCGCTAGCAGAGGCACAAAGAGGAGGAAAAGACACACACGGAGAAGATCACCATACAACACTCTAAAAGCGGGGATGACACTATAACGGCCTCTGAAAGTCCCTGAAGGCTCGACACCAAAACGAAAGCAACAATGGAAACGGGATCAGTGTCCGGTTTTCTCCTGATAGACGTTCCCTCTCGTGGCAGATAAGCTGGCTGCGTTCTTCTGCATTGAGTTGATCAAAAACTGCTGGCTATGATTAGAAGTCTCAGTGGAACCTCGAGACTGATTCAATTAATTCATTTAGACATTTGCCCCTATTCCTCCCCCCAAAAAATGTCATTAAAAATTGACTGGAATGATTATGGAGTTTTGGCCCTCAGTGGTTAAAGACTCCTAATGAAGGAGTAAGCTGAGATAACTCAATTAAACCAACCTTTGACACATGAGAGGTCTTTGTCTTCTTGGGGTCGGAGAAGGCAGAGAGGGGAATGGTGGGGAGCATTGGGTAGTCCGGACTGGGCCTCGACACAGCTTCAGCCCCCTCTGGAACCACCAATACCTGGAATGAAGGGGGGGGGGGGGGAAGACTGTTATGCTTCTCTGTTGATCTCATTCACTGTAAATTATTAAATAGTGTACAAGGCACTGGATTTACTTTAACTGCAGACAGTCTTTAGTTGATTTGTTTTTGTTTTGACCCGGATCAGTCTTTAGGGTATTGCAGTACTTTAAGCCTTCCGCTATTCCAAATATACGAAAAAAAGCAAAAACGATTTCTCGGAAACAAAGTCATAATAATTTGAGATGGATGGAGTGGATGAAGTGAATTGTAGCAATGAGGTCTCGCCTCCTTTGACGGAGGAGGTGAAGCTGCTGCGGAGCCTTGATCTCTGCTCCGCCCGCCATGGGCTTCTGTCTGCAGGTCAGAGGCTGCATCAAGTTGAACCCGGGTCTGTCCAAGGTGGGCTGGTTGCTGCTGGCTGAGCTGAAGGGATTTTCTAGTGAACCCGTGGGGATTTTGTCTCATTTGGCAAAATCCCAGCAATCGCTCCCGATGAAAACCATCAAGAAACGGCCGATCTCACTGTTTTCACAGTGACTTGTTAGTTTCATTCTTTGCTAAAGCTGCCTCTTTTTCCTATACGTGTATAACACCTCGCAATGACTCCTTATCGCGTATGAAATCAGTTTATAACTTACATTAACATCTACTGTCAATGAACTACGAGGCTTGTTAATACCTACGGCCTGTTTTGAGGAAACTCTATTGACAACTCTAGCATCTGCTCTTGACCAGAGTCAATCATTTAGACCGTTTAGTCCAGTGAAACAGCCTGTATGTGCCTCTGTGTGTGTGTGTGTGTGTGTGTGTGTGTGTGTGTGAGTGCCTCACCCCTCCGGCTTTGATCAGCTTTCTCCTGAACTCTTGGGTGGGGTTGTTGAAGGTAAGCTTCTCACAGCGCAGGTGGTTGACGGGTGGGTTGCCCTCCAAGTTGAGGAATAGGTCGTAATTGAAGCACACTTTTTTTGGCTCCTCCTGAAGGAAGACAACAGAAATCTTTCAGTTTTAAAACTTCTAGCATAATATAACAAGTATATTTTACAGCAAAAATCTGAATGAATGAACCATCACACAGGAAGTAATTAAAACAAACAGAGACAGACACTTATAAGAATCAGCAAACATGCGGTGAAAAGGCAAGGAAGACTCATTAAACGCTTGAGATTTTATAAAACAAAAAAGTCCTCCGGTAAATACAGATGGATCAATTTACACTCTTCTTGCTGGCTCCTTTTCCTTGATCTTCTTGACAGTCGTATCTATAATGTATAACTTAAATCCACATAAGAGGATGATGTAACATTTTTGGGTGCGGTCCAGAGGTTTAATATTACAGAGCCAGAGGAGACGATGGTACACTAATGTGCACACACCTCCTAAACATTGTCCTCATTGTATACAGCGAGTTTTAAGCTTCCTTGTTTTCATCATTCATGTTCATGGAGGACGGTGCCAGTAATGCAGCGTGTGCTGGTTTTATTTCTCTCACTTAAACTTAAAAGACTCACAATCAGGACAACAACCTGATTTTTAAAAGATGGAAAAAGGAAGAATTGGTTTCTTCTAAGCTTGTTATGGAATTAACCTGCTGAACACGGATACATTTCTGCAGGAAAAACCTGTTTTCCTGTTCACAACAAATCATCGTCAACAATATTTATTATATTTTAATTAATATTCTGTAGTAAAACTACCACTAAACGCATAAATCAATTTATACAACTCAATATTGAAACTAGCTACTAGCTTTTCATTTTCCCTCCACAGCTTAAAGATAATTTCTATAAATACAGCAACAAGGAGCTTTACACCCCGTGTCCTGCCAACCTCACCTTGTTCTTAAAGTAAACCTCAATAGGCATGAGGAAACCGGCGTAGCCCGACTCCTCCACTTTGTACGGAGGCTCCTTGCATACTGCAGACAAAAACACGTCAACGGCAGTGAGCACATTACTCGCACGAGTGTCATCCATCGAAACGGGTTCATTTGGGGCACACATGTATTTACTAGGAGAACAGTCTGAGCAAACGTTACGCTAATATGAAGTCAGATTGAGGATGGAAAATAGATGAATTAGTCAGAATGAGAAGACTTTTGTCCAGTCACAGGACACAAAACCGTTTCACATAATAATAAATCATATAAGAGTTCCAACTTGGCAGACATTTGAGCATTTACACTAAAGTGAGGGCAACGATATATAAAAGAGATGTACATGTCAAGAGACGCACGACACATGGATTATTTCCTTGCACCATTATATCCACTATTTGTGGAGGCTGTGTGCGTATTGGTTGCCCTCACTTTGACCTCTGTGAATGATCACGTTAACAGAGTTCAATTTGAAAAACAAGAACGTCATTGCGCCTGCTTGAATGCTGAAAAAAAAGTTTTTTAAAGAATGGAATCTGGAGAATGTGAACCTCCCTCTCTGTGTTTATTCGCCACTCTCTTCTATGTACCTGTTTATTGTTTTAATATGTGAAATTAGTTCCCATATTCATTTAAAAAAAAAGACATCATTAAATCTATAGCACTCAATTACCTGTATGGAAACTCTGTGACAAATATTGTGTTCTCACCTCTCTTAGGTTTGGGGAAGCTCTCGTGCAGGCGGAAGACGACCTTCTCTACAAAGTGCTGGATGTTGCCGGTCTCCGGCCCTCGGACAAACACCATCCAGTCGTGGGTGAAGCCTTCCGATGTCACTTTCTTCCTCAGCTGGGCTCTGTGGCCCAACTCCAGCTTCACCTGCACTGTGCACTGAAAAAAGACAGAAAATATCAAAACACTGTCGCTCTGCGAGGCCTGTAGACGTGGGAGAATAGTCAAAAACCAGGTGATTGAAAAAGGTCATTTAGATCCAGAAACAGATACACATGATGTAACGAGCAGAGAGAAATAGAAGAAATGCACAGAGATGGTTTTCTTTTTGTTTGTTGTTTACGATAAAACAAGTATTATAAGTGACGTCAACTTTATTTTTCCAGCACAAGATCACGGGTAATGAGATTGTACCACACGGCCATTACTCACTGGTTTCTGATTCCACCTTGAACTAAAACCTGCGAATCTCTATTTTTGGAGCATGTGGACTTTTCACTCAAAGAGGCGAGGCCGAACACTCGGTCAGGACAAACACAAAGCTGGACAAGTGCTGGGACGCCCCCGGTGGAATGGGACAGATTAGATGCCCGAGCCGGCGGATCTATAAAGGTTTGTCCGGAGGAGGGGAACATTTTTGGGCTGACTCTCTGCTAGGAAACAATGACAGCATTAGTAAATGACACTGTGCTGGTGGGGACGGCCATGGCAGGAGATGAGGCCGTGGCATTGGGAGTGAAGAAGGGAAGAGGGGGGTAACGAGAGGGGACAGAAAGCTACTTTATGTCCAGGGGAGGGCTGAAGAATGTGTGGATTTGGCCCAAGCACAGAACAGCTCGTGAGCTGGGACTGAGTGGGGGGATTAAAGGAAACGGGATTGAGATGAGCTAGTCTGGCACTCTCTCTCTTTCTCTCTCACACACACACACACACACACACACACACACACACACACACACACACACACACACACACACACACACACACACACACACACACACACACACACACACACACACACACACAGCCTGGCACTCTGCCCAGCCATTCTGTGGCAGTAATGCCCTTAAACTCCAGACTCTACCACACCCACACTGCGCCGCCGCCGTGGAGTTTCTCCAATCCTCAACAGCGCCGCTTTCCACCCACGGACAACTCTGCAACGCCACGGTTTAAGGATGAGCCGAAAAACAGCATGACGACGACAGTGACATTCTATTAGAATAAAACCTGACATTTATCCCATTGATGAGAAAATGAAGAGCCCAGAGGCAATGTGAGGTTGAGAACATTAGAGCCCAGCTGATTGATTAGCTGGACAAGAGACTACTTAAGCAACTATTTCCATAATTAATTAAATTGCATTAGACCTTTGAACAACCTTTACGCTGCTTTTCTTTGATTTATGATACGATATTTATGATATTTGTGTTTTGGACTGATTGTTGATGGACACCAGATATTTAAAGACATCACTTTAGGGCTTTTGACATCCAATAGACAAAACAAGAAAATACAAGAAAATAGACATTAATCAAGAAAATAATGTACAGATCAATCAAGAATTGGAGAATTTCTAAGTTGCTACTAGAGAAACAACGGTCTGAAAATATGAAGAGCATCAATCTGAAAACCTCACAGCTGAATAATTCTGACTGCTGACCACAACATCGAGAGCCCAGCGAGAAATGTTAAGCTGAGAAAACAAACAAGATGAAGGTCGAAATGATCCACACATTGGTGCACTGCCCAAAACATGACGATGACATTCTATTCCACTAGCATCAGGTAGAAAAAAAGGAACTGTCGCAACACATTTATTAAGCTTTTTTCTGTAATGACAACAAAACCACTGACATTGACATGAAGCGTCGATGCATTCTCTTCTCCCTCAGAACATAGCTCCAATTGAGGGGAAATATAAATTCTGGCAGACACACTGGCTCCCATGAAAACAATCCCCACCTGACGTGTAAATAACACCCCTCGAGACCATGTTAATCTCTGCCAGCTAATTTACAATTTTTTTTTCAAGTCAGAAAGTTTCCCAGAGGAGACACACAGACTCATGTGACAGCAGCTGGTGAAGCTACAGACTTCGGCGAAATTCTCCATCGTCACAACAAGCTACAGGACAGTTCGTTGTTTTGGGACCCGGTCCATCCCAGAGACACGCGCGGGAGTCACAGAGCAACAGTCGCACCAAAGGAAAACAAGCCGGAACTGTAAATAGTGCGAGTGTGTGTGTGCGTGTGGATTATGAAAAGCTGCACGGTCACTCATCCTGTCATCCCAAACTGCAGAGTTCACGATGCAGGTGTCATAACTCCAAAAATAGAGATCTGCGTATTTGCACACAAAGTCACGACGTTGTTTCAACATCCACACACGAAGCACTCCGGCTGTGTCATTACGCTGTAATGTGCAATAAATACATTCAAGTACAACATTTACAGACTGAACTTGATTATCTTTATCCGAGAGACTCAACTGCACGACCATTTGGCTTTTCTGAAACACGTGCAGCATAATTAAATGACTCAGCAATGCATCTTAATTTCCATTGAATGTATAATGCTCAAATTAGATAGTACAAAGCAATGCAATGCCACAGGAACTTAAACTAAAGTCTCAAAAATGACAATAAAGTTGTACCAACAACAATAAAACATTAACAACTGAACTTTATAATCTACATAATGGCTTTACTTTAATCATAGCTATGAACGGACAACCGGGCATCTATTTGAACAGTACGAATCACAAATGCAAATATTTGACATAGTTAACATTCATCTCAGAAGTACAACTTGTAGCAGCAGACGGATGAACACTCACACATCCAGTTAAAACTTCAAAGGGGCCAAAGCTGAATGGGGACTTGCTCCAAGGAAGTGGCTCAGCCACTTTCCATGGTTGTGTGTGTGTGTGTGTGTGTGTGTGTGTGTGTGTGTGTGTGTGGCCCAACCATGTGAAATATAGTGCTGAATAACCTCAGGCATTCCCAGAGTGACCCATTCTGAAGCGATATCGCCCTCGCAGCGGGCACGTATGTAATTTGGTTTCTGCTGGATAAACGATGCAGCTTTTGGAGATGGCAGAAACCGTAACTGTGGCAAATGTATGTATACATGTAGTATTAATAGATTTGAGGAAGCAAGTTCATTAAACCACGTTCTAGGCGGTCATCACCACTGGATTCAAGTAAAACGTCTGCACACAAGACGAGACATTTGTCATTTGCTTCTTTACCCCCCTCCCCTAAGTGATTCACGCATCTCAGTATACAATCAAAAACGTGGTACGCCTTAAACGTTCACCAAGTGTTGGCACACAACGCGATGCCATTGCAGAAGTTGTGCGGTCGATGCTCGCGTTATTAGCCGCGCACGAGAGGCTCCGGGGCCGCCGGGGCGGAGGGAGACGCAACCCCGCCTCTCCAGGCACCGGCCCCGGGGAGAACAAATCGTTTCCCCCGGCGCCTCGCAGCGGCTCCTTAGCCTTTAGCAAACGGCCGACACTCTCTCTGATAGGTGGACTAGCTTAGCTTAGCTTTTACACCCCCCCCCCCGCAAAAAAAAAAAAAAAACTCGAATCAAATGTGTCTGCATGGCGTTCAAACAACGTGCATGTGCGTTTCAAACATAGAGCGCAATACACACACGGTGTGAATCTCTTTGTGTGCCCCGGTCGTGGCTACAGCTAGTCAACGCCGCTGAACGGTGTGGCAGACTGGAGCTAGCTAGCTGTAAATACCGATGTATGGGTGCCCAGCTAGCATAGCTCCAGAGCCAAACAACTACGAGTTCATTAGCAGCAGGAGCATTTTTTTTCCTTCTGGCTAGCTGAGCGGAGGCTCCATTCCCGTCCTGCCGGCGCGCGCCCCGGCTGGCGTTTTCTCCGTGAACATTTCAGAATTCACAAGGAGACACGAAAGCCACCGTACCTGGTTCTCCATGTTCCTCTGGCCTCAGTGGTTGTTGTATTTATTTACAGCGGCGTTTCTGGAGCGTCTCCCCAGCCTCTGCTCCTCATTGTGTGTCAATCCAGCCCAGAAGCGGAAGGCAGACGGCTCCCCTCCCCTTCCAGACGGCTGCTGGCAGGCGATCAAAACAGAAAGCTCTCTCGGCCAATCACGAAGCGGAGAATATGAGCACTCTTGAACGGGACCAATCGAAACGCCGAAGAGGCGGGACACTTTCCTAGCTGCAAATACAATTAAAGCATTTTCTGGTGGTTTTCTCGAGTGACAGCGAGCTCGTCCCAATGGTTAAAGCTTTGTTTCAATTGTAAAATGCACATGATGCTAATTGATTAATCGGGGTTTGATTGCATGGCGTTTATAAGACAATGCAAAATGAATAACCTTTACTATAATAACATAACTTTAAGATATTTTATCCTATATTTTATAACTTCCTTCCTTCGTTTACAAAAAATGATGTACATTATTGTCTGTGTGATGAATTTGCAAAGAACTTCCCGAAAAAGGGAAGTATAATACTTTCCCCAATTGATGCCCACATAATAATCCAATAATATCACATTGACAGGGACAAAACAGACATACATAATGAGCTTATACTTTAGATCTAGTAAGTGTTCTTTTTTTTTTGCAGAAAATAAATAGATTTTCAACTCTGATTGAACAAACTTCAGAATACAGAATACATATTTCATCGCAGGTGAAAAGCAAACATTTCAATGCAGTGTAATTAGGAGAATCCTCTTAAGTGCCGTGCCCTTCCTCTTCTTTACCTGTAATAAATGGTTTTAATCAGCACTTTTCCGATTGAAGACATCACTCTTACTATACAGAGTCAGCGAGCAGGGGCCAGTTGCAGTCAAGTCTGGTTCTCAGACTTTGATGTGAGATTATCGGGCCTCGGCTGTGGGACAGAAGGTCACCACTCTCTCATTGGCTTGGTTTCCTCGCCTTCTTCCCCAGTTTCTTAAGTAGATGCAGTTTGCCTCTCAGTCAAATCTGAGTGAAAGATTCAAAGTCCCACTGATACGGAGATCTCAACCTTTAAAGACTCCTTTTTAATATAAAATAAGTGGATAACGACAAAATGTATCCATGCCCCAAAGTTTCACAACACACAACAGGGGTTTGTTAGATTTTAGAACTACAATTTATAAAAAAAATAACAGGTATCCATTCTTATCATCATCAACTCAAAAAATAGAGGCATTCTAACTATTAAGACCATCAATAAACCCCAAATAAACATTTTGATAAAAAGTAAAAGCATTTCGTATCTATGAACGAATAAATCCCAACGTAAAGGATATTTAGAGAAATGAAGAGAATCCGGTATCTCATTTGCAAATGAGAAGGACTTTGGCCAGTTTTAATGCCATCAGCTACAGGAATAACCAAAAGATGAGACAAATATAAACTTTAAACTGATAGTGGCGTCAGAGATTCGCCTCAAAGTAATTAGAATGCATCCTGAGCAGGACACGAATGTTTGGATCAAGCTCAAAGGGCAATCCATCAATATTGGGTATAGATATTTCACTTAAAACAACAAATGTTACGTTACGTTATGTTATTTTTGTGGCAAAAAGTAAAGGTATCACCAAAGTAAGTTGGATTTCTTGTCTGGGTGTCATAAATGACTGCATGAAATGTGGAGCCAGTCCTTCCAGGACAGGAAGGACAAGTTCAAACTTGACAAAACTGACAAGTAGCTTTTGAATATCTCATCAACCACAGGAGGTCACTAATGAGCGTTGAAGTCCAGAGAATGCCTGTGTGCACGTTCTATTGTTGTGTCTATTGTTTCCTTCAGGAAGGATCATGTGAATGGAAGCAAATGTACCTGAATATTCTCAAAACATTACCAAAATCAAGAGCTGTGTGGAGAAAACGAGGCCTTTTAACAGTTCAGCGATTAATTATTCATGCAAAAGAAATATGTACAGTTGATAGTTGTGCTTAGACAAATAAATATACTTTAGAGGAATATTTTAAACATCCTGAATAGACCTACACTAGTACACAACTAATAGTGACATGTTATAAAATGTTGTCAAAAATGCCAGAATGTCAGAAAACCCATTACTTTTAATCGCATTTTAATTTGCTTGTGTTTGTACATAATTGAAAGTATGCATGTGAAACAATAACATGTTGAGGTACCTCTATGTAAACAAAATGTCGCTGTAAAGCTTCACTCAAGTAAACTGTATGTAATAAAGTATTATAGTAGATAGGGTTTCTTAGAAAAGCATTAGTGCATTCAAATGTATCGCAATGCACATCATTTTATTTGCCTTTCTGGCTTGAAAATAGATAACAGCAGTTGATTTAAATGAATAAAAATACACATGCTTAACCATCAAAAACTCTTGAGGAATACATTCAGGATGCCGATGAACACTTTATGAAACCACTCATGTTGCAAGTTCTTATTGTTTGAGAGACATTGTGTTAAAATGTCTAAACGAGTACACGCGTCATTATACACACAGAAACTCTAAACACCAGCTGCCCTCCGATTCTGTGGCAACAGGATTTATTTTTCTTACATTTTGTAATTTAGATTCAGCAGATGTGGTCTTGAGTTAATCTGTGGTGTAAAAGAAAGAAAATATACATTTGGAAGTTTTCCAGTCAGTCACATTCCTGTGATCTCAGTTTGTTGTCGGAAAGGTAATTCTTTTAAGTTACAGATCAAGTTCTGAATAAAGCTCTCTAGTGTAAATCATTTTAAGGGCTTCCCATTCATACACATTTGTAATAATGAAATGTTCTAATATACATTTTCTGCCAACGTCACAATTACTCAAGCTCGTTAGCAGCGTTTCTGTGTTTTGGTTGTGCCCCTCAGGACAATGTGAGGTAATCCAACAGCCCATTTATCACATGGCCAGTACTGCAGTCCAGGCAGAGAGTACGGTATCTCGTAGTTTGCATCCAGGTAAGCAATCAAGGTGCTGGCATATGCCACGGCTATCACAATCAGAATATGCCTGCAGAATACAGATATTGAAGATCAATACACAAGCACGTCCTTACGAAAAACAAAAATTCCAGATAGGCCCCACTAATTCACTCCAGTGAATGTTTTACTCAGTTTTTGGACCACACAGAAGTTTGGGTGGTGTAATGATGGGCGTAATAAACTGTGTTGGAAAGGAAAGGGACACAAGTAAGCCAGGACATACCAGATACCGTGCAGGTAGCAGAAGTTCAGCCTCTGCCAGAAGCTACAGCCAAAGCGGTCACTGATCCAGCAGGAGATGGCGAGCACCCACAGAGCCACCGACAGCTTGGCCAGTCGCACGGCCTTTGGGTCGGTGCAGCTGAGAAAGAGAGAACTTTTCGGTTATCGCGAAAAGCGAATCAAAAGTAGAGCAATAACAGTTATAGATGAACAAAAAGCTCTACGTTTAAGTACCTTCTCATCTCGACAACCACAACGAAAACCAAATGGAGACCGAAGCAGTTCAAAACGTAGGCATTGGCTGCAGGTTTGTAAAACGATGACAAAGTGGAGATGACAGTGACCAACAGGACGAGGCATGAGAAGGTGGACCTGTGGATGACAGAGAGAATATGTAAGCTGTGAGTTAGCAGAACTGTCAAGGTGATGATGCTGATTCAAACTTACACCTAAATGTCAGTAACACTAAATGTCTGTATTCATGGCAGAGATGAAGACAGGCTGTATGACTCCAATACAAAGCCTCCTCATTAGCGTAGATAATACCACAGCGTATTACTTAAAACCCGAGATGCACGTTCTTTTTCACTTTAGGTATAAGGTCTGCTTTGTTTTTATCTCTTAATTGGGTCTCCACATGATGGCTCATCAGCTGGCAAATTGCTGACATTGCTTGTTTGCTGTTTGGTGCTGAACAGGTGGAGCAGGTTTTTTTCAAAGCTTTTTAAACTGAAAACAGCTGTCTGCTGGAACAAACCGCACTGTGAGAGCACTGAGAGTCAACCAGAACAGCAAAGATGCATAGCAAGTTTGCAAAAGGGACCCGTAACCTCTCTGACCTCTCTGACCTCTCTTTGTCTGTGCCAGGTATGACCCTTTTAGCTGATCCATCATTTAAGAGGACTAACTCGTGACGTAAAAGTGTGAGGGCGGTGGGATTCTTCTTCAGGTACTCAGCAACATTTAATTAATCTTTCCCATCTTGTGGTGTGAAATATTTACACAGCTTGGGTGGAGCTTGCTTCCCCTTTAATTCACATTCAGGTGGAGCAGGTAGCTCCACACTGATCCTTTGTGACAATGACGAGTTGCAGCTGTCAGACAGGCTCCACGACAAATGCAGGATCGGTTTCAGCGTGGCGCGCCTCCGATACAGCTGCCATCGTTTGCTTGTATTTGTCTTATTAAGGGATTATTGCGCTGTGTGTGTCTCCTTAGTAACAAATGGAGAGGAAAAAAGACAAAAACAAACACGGTTTTCGGGTTGATGCACTACCTGTCCTTTATAAAAGAAGGGTAGAGTCTGCGGGGGAACCAGAGAGCGTATCCCACCGCCAACACCCACAGGATGGACAGCTCATCCAACATCTGGCCGAAGAAACTAAGTGTCATGTGGAAGTATGCAGAGAAGAGTCCTGCAAAAACAAAAATGATAATATAGAGACTAAAGAAGGAGTGAGGGGGGATATGAATCACGTAAATGCAACAAAAACAGACTATTGTTTTTAAATATTGAGGTTAAAATCAGGTGATGTATCTAAAAAGTGGAAAAAACACCACAAAATGTATGAATGAAGAAAAAGAGACTGACCAACAAATAGCATCAAGCTCCAGACCATGTGAATCGCCAAGTTCCTCTCTTTAGCGTAAGGGTGCAGAAGGTAGAGCATGATGGGAGATATAACGAAGAAAAACAAGCTGCTCATCTGCAGGGGAAACATACAAAATAAATAAACCTCCTGTCACTGTTCTTTCATTGAGATTGTAGATATTTTACAACTGTTTATTCTCTAAAACGGGAAACTATCTATCTGACTATAGAGAGTATTCTGTTAAGATAAGTACTTACAGTGTTGAAGTACTCCACTACATGTTCGGAGTGTTTGTAGTTGTCTTCACACCAGTCGATCTCTGAGCTCTCGTAGGCGAAAACTCCTGCCATCTTCTCACTGGAGTAGACACCTGTCCGTCAGAGGGGGGGTATTAACACTGGTTCTGAAAGCCCACTTGCAGTTTTACCGATTGTACTTTCAGTTGTTTTATGGTGCAGATAAACTGGCCGCCTATCCAGGAGGGCCAATGGGGTGTTTGTATACGCGGTTTATGGAAATCAGTTTGCAGGGTTGTATTTCGCCATGGCTTGTATTCAAATGGCGCATCGCACCCTTTCTCGGAGCCTTTAAATATTTCAATGTACATTTACATTTGCTGTGAAAAGGGAATAGAGAGACAGCACAGTTTCCTATCATGTGTTTTAATCTCCAATCTACACATTTCTAACACAATAAAAACGTTTTTTTTTTTTTTTTTTTGCGATACCATATAATTGCAAAACTGATGGAATGAATTCTAATATAATGTACACCTAATAAAGTGTCAAGTAGGAAATACAGTGTATACAATATTGGGTTATGGAATAGTAAATTCGAGACACATTGTTATGGTAATAGATATAATAATCCTATGACGACTGGTCCCTGCATTTTCACTCAGTGACTACAAGAACATCAGCAGTAATAGTCTGGTGCCAGTTTCAAACCCTGAGGAAAAAATACACGAAATAAGTCTAAATAATCCTTAGTTTTATGGTCATATGTCTCTTACCTCCCATGGCGCTGTTGTCCCAACCACCAAACCGTCAGTCCTGCTGCGCTCCAGGAGGTGCAGCAGGTGCATCGAAACGCCAGAATGTGACGTCACAAACCAACGCGCCGAGCGGTTTCTCATCTCTGGGCCAACGAGTCAGACGGGAAAAATGTCTCGAATGCACTCACCTGTACACACCGGCCTCAAGTTACCTTTTAAGGAGAAAACTCTGCTAATGAAGACACTTAGACGTGAGGTAAAAATCCAAAAGCTATTACTGAAAACTCAACAATAGCGTATTTTAGCAAATCTTGCCTACATTTAATAGATCGTCTACATATCAGAAAATTGTTATTTAAATACAAAAAAGTAGACCAATACGACATGGAACAGCAGACTGGTTATGGAAACAGGTGACACAGGTCTTTCAAAAAGAAGTTCAACCGGTCTATTGGCCAGCGATGGAAGTTTCAAAACAAAAGCATGAGCATTCTGCCTGTGTAAAAAGCGCAGGTATGGCGTTTTTACTTGCTCTTATTTTGAAACTAGAAGGTTCTGCATGATTTAGAAGAAATAAACAATGATTTGACAGTGATTCACACTTTTTGAATTAATGTCAACCACATTCAACCTAATTAAACGTCCATTTATATAAGTACATTATTTCATATAACCCAGTTACATTCAAGGTCAACAAAAGAAAACGTTTGTGCACATTGGTGCACATCTGTACAGATGGTATTTATTATAACAGTGTCATATATAGGTTTTTGCTTTATATTTGTATTATCCAGACTATTAATTATTGAAAATTAATTGTGAAATCTTGTAGCCCTCGACTTTACAAGTATTTAATTGAAAATCGGAAGTAGTAAACAAATTAAATACAAGAGAATAATTCATAATCAGAGTTGCAACATTTTTTATTTATTCATATAAAAACAAATATTGATTGGCTGTGAAGAAATGACATTGATTTACAAAATCAACCAAATATTCAAAAATAAAAATGATAAATGTAAAGTTAATAAATCTTCTTTTTTGTAATTCAGAAATATTTCATAACTTACTGATGAAAGCATCAAACCAGTGCAAAAGTCCTTAAAAAATATATAATAGAATACTTTTACTGAGGTGAATGATATTTGTAATGATAACAATAATTGTGAGGTTTCAAGTATGGCTTTTGGGTTGCTACAGACCTACAGACCTAACAGCCATGTTCAGTATAATTTAGAATATCAATTATTACTTCATTTCATTTTGTTATCTTAACCGCACCCATACTGAGCCGTATTCGTTGCTCTGGAGAACACCTTCAGGGAAAATATGGACACTGTATACACAAAAAGCAATGCCTTATTTTGTGGTCATCTTTAGCAAAGTAACGTCTCAAAGAAAGGTGTTGTGGGAGTAACAGTGAGGTCAAAGATAGATATTGTTGTTATCATTCAGAACGACAGCAGATGAAACCAGAGCAGCTCTTTGCAGTGGACCTTTAAAGGTTGTGTCCATAACAACAATGTCTTCTGTGCTCTATTCCCACAATCAATGTATGAGCCTGTAATATCAGTGAGGCCCAGCTTTAAACAGTTTCCATCACGGATGACGCTCTAACTTGCAGCCATGAAGGAGGCAGTTTCTTCAGCAAACAGGAGGCGCTGCTTTTCAACAAATTACACAAGTTTCTAGACAGACACAAAGTCCACCAGCAAAGGCCGAGCGCTGTTCAGATCTTTTCCACATAGTTACCCGGGAAGAGTCCCTCCTTTCCTTGAACCCTGCCAGTCCACCAGCCCGATGGATCTACAGAGAAAATAAATAAGTAGATATAAATGTCACAAATCACTGTTTCAAATCCAACACAGCAATACATTTAGAGCCTACTGATGATTTATATTCACTCTCCATCTTGCATTGTTATCATGCACACACCTTCTTTGATGAGGTCGAACACGTCGTTGACGTCGAAGCTGATCTCGTCCGTGTCCTGGCCGATGTACTGGTATATGGCGCGGCAGCGGGGCCCCTTTGGTTGAGGCTGAGGCTTAGGAGCCGGCGGAGGTCGCTGGCTGATGCTCCTTTTCCTCTGCTTCCTGTTGCAGAGAGAGGGCAGTTTGACAGTGAGATAAAAGGAGCGGCTTAACAGATGGACTCTTTCAAAGGGAAGTTTATGGTCGGCGAAATGGTGGGACAGGGAGAGTCGAACCAGAGGGAACATGTTTAGGTTTGTGTATCTTCATCGGGGGGAAACTGAGTCAAGCCAAAACACTTCAATGGTTGGCTGAGCAGGTCTTTGCAAGGACTATCTGAGCTCTCCTGTCTATTATTTATACAACTCATTACATTAAACACTAAACCCGTGGCTTTTTCACATTTTGCCCAGGGAGCAATTAGGGGTTAGGTGTCTTGCTCAGGGACACTTCGACATGGAACATGGGGCAGCCTGGAACCGAACCAACCACCTTGTGCACCTTCTCTAACCCCTGCGCCACAACAACCCCCATTGTTACCTTTCATGTAAAAACAATTGGAATACCATGAATACATCTCAGGAGAGACCACGTGTAGAGATTATTGTCACCTTATCTTGGTGCTTTCTATGGCGGCAGTTTCTTTCTTGCCCTTTTGCCTATTAACACTAAACAAACTATTAATAACTAAACAGGTTTATCTATCTCATTTGTTTGGGCTCAGTAACTGTCGAGACTTCTTTGAAACTTAGAAACTTCTTTGAAGTGATTTTTTTTTGGTGACAAATCAACTCCACCCACACATGCTGTGATCATCCCTTCCTTCCCCTTTTTCATACGCCGCGTGGCGATCTTTCCTCACCCTGACATGCCCTGGTCGGGCACATTGAGGAAGTCCAGGTTCCCTTGGTTGTTCTGGGAGTGGGCCGGCACCCTGGGGGCCCTCTGGGAGCCCAGTTTGGGCGGAGCTGTGCTGGGTGGCCGCCCTTGTTTGTGCGGGGACGAATATGCGGTATCTGACGGTTGTTTGTAAAAATTGGCTGCTCCATTCTGGTGCGCTAAGGGGTGAGAAAGTGTTGCAAAAGTTTGAACGCAAACAAGTTACACGTATATTCAATCTTGTAGAATTATTCATTGGATACAAGTTTTAAGTTCTATAGGGGGTTGGTAATTGTCAGGGGTAGAAGAAGTATTATATTAATTTACTAAGTAGCAGTAGATTAAAGTATTCTTAACGCAGGCAGAATGGCTCCAGTCAGTCTTATTTCAAGGGATTGTTACTGATGATGCATTCATTTGTATGCTGCATCTGGTAAGTAAAGTTGATTTCTAATCATTTACAAAATTGTAGGTTAATTTAATCAATAAAAACAATGGTTGTTATGTTAAAAAATTGTTTACGTTTCGCAAAACTATGATCTTCAAAGATCTTCTATTATTAGTTGCTGTCAAATAAATGTGGAGGAGTAAAAGTCAACATTGCAATTTAAAAGTGTATGCGTGGGGAGAGTAGTGTACATTACATTACATATAGCCTGGCATAAAGGCAAATGATCAAAGAACAACTGTAGCTGAGTAAATGTACTTAGTTACATTTAAGTTCAATTGGTGTTTTAAATGACCAGTTTAAAATAAGAGATAGATAAATATAAGAAATATTGACTATAACAATTAAAATACAGGACAAACTGGGACTTCACCTCTGCTGGCAGCATTATTTCTCCCTCCACCACGAGACTGTGGCGCACTCTTCCTGCTCGGCTCTGACGAAAAACAAAGCTCGTTACATTTAGCCGTCAAATTAACAAGAATGAACAGCAAAAAATATATACTTTCATAATCTTTTCTTCATTTAAAGAACCCGGCAAAAAGTTTTTGCCGGGTTCTCCCCCTATTGTCTGCCATGTCGCGGTTGTTTGGTTCCACTTACTGGAGGACTTGGGTAGGCCGTCTCCAACCGTGATGGAGAGGGTTTTCCCTCCAGCTTTGAGCTCGGCCACGTCGCCTTGCCCCCTCTGAAACACCACCACCCTGGAGCCTCCTCCACCCCAGCCCTCCTTCTTCACTCTGAACTCCAACCTGCGTGGGAACAAAGTGTCTCAGTGTTTCCTGTATTTGTTGCAAGTAAACGTAGTCTGAGCGTGTAGGTTTCTCTACCTGTCAGTGAAAGAGATTGACAGTTTTCTCTTGATCGCTTCCTCGTAGCGTTTCAAGAGCAGACTGAGGAACTCAGTCTTGAAGTTGGACTCCAGCAGACTGTCATACTGGGACTCATGCAGGATGAAGAAATCATCTTGTCTGGTGCTGAAGACAAATAAAAACAAGACCATTAAGATCTCCCGGGAAAATGCAAACAAACGCAGTTAGTTTTACATATTCTGAGGAAAGTACAATGCAGTGCTGAGATATTAAGACGTTCACTGTCTTGCTGTATTTTAACGGAAGTAGTAGCTGAAAAAAACAATGTTAAAGATGTGTGAAGCTGTACTTCATTTGAAGTTACAATAGTGATACTGAAAAGAGTTTCAGGTTGAGCGTAGCGGCTAAATGAAGTCTGACGTAGTTATAATTATTCTTAGTAAAACTTTGCATATCATTATTATTTCTGAAAAGCAAATGTATTTGATAAACAATATTAAAAAGGAACCCTGAAATGCAAAGATCTACTATTTGGACGACGTTCTGTGAATTCTCAACACATTTTATCTGCTGTGTTTACTCTTGTAGCAGCAGAGAGTTCTCACGCAGCGGTTAATGACTGAGAAAGCACCAGTTCTTGTATTTTTACAACCCAACATCAACCACAAATGTTGTTCATGGTTGATGATGCGAAACCTCCCTTTGTTTGAAACCTACCTGAGAGAGATGCCGCTGAGGCTTCCAAACTCAAGTTTCCGTTTCAGCACCTCCTTGATTTGTCCTTTCTCAGGTCCTTTCTTCACCTTCTCTCGGCCAATCAGATAGATGCCCTTGGGGGTCAGGATCAAGTCCCTCTTGATAGACTAGGTTGCAACGGAAAAAAAAAAAAAACAGAAGTGAAAACGTTGAGCTTGCCAGAAAGAAGAAGTACACAAAGGGCAGTCTTACGATTATTCAACACGCAGTGGTACATTTCTCAAATAAATAAAAAAACTAAACGAAACCCCATTAAGCTTCACCTTGAACCTGCGATCAAACTTGTTGACAGAGTCAGCGAAGTCGACGCGCTCCCTTTTGGCGAGGAACTGCCTCAGCTCCGGCCTCTGCTCCAGGCCCAGGTAGTCTCCGACAAAGTTTCTGTTGATGCTGTTCTTCCGGCGCTCCTTTGAGTTGTACAGGATGTCTGAGGCTGTGATGCAACAATGGACAAACAGTCAGAAT